AAAGAGGAAATATTGAAAGCAGCAAAAGGAAAAAAGAAAAAAAGACACGCTATACATAGGGGAATAATAACGCAAGTTAGAGTGATTATCATAAAAAAAACAATGAAGGCCAGAAGACAATGGAATGACATTTTTAAAGAGCTGAAGGGAAAAGTACTAGTCAACCTGAATCCTAAAGTCAGAGAAAATGTCCTTCAAGATTAAAGGAAAAATAAAGATGTTTTCATACAAATGAAATCAGAATATTCATTACTAGCAAAACTGCATCACATAAAATGAAAGGAAGTTCTTTAGGCGGAAGAAAAATAAAACCAGCTAGAACATCTAATCTACTGAATATCACTGGAATAGCACACAAATATTCATATAAAAGAATCCTACAGAAATAAAAATATGTAATAGAATATTATGAATAACTTTACATTGGTACATTTGACAGTTTAGGTAATATGGGTAAATTTCTTGAAAAACAATTCTACAAAACTGACACAAAATCTGAATACTATATTTGTCTATTATATATATATATATGAAAATAAATTTTTTAGCAAAAGAATTATTAGCAAAAGAATTCCTAGAAATTGTCCAGCTAGCAATTTAGTGGTTGAGCATCAACCTGTGAACCAGGAGGTCGTAGTTCGATTCCTAGTCAGGGCACATGCCAGGGTTGTGGGCTCAGTCCCCAGTGTGGGGTGTGCAGGAGGCAGCTGATCAATGACTCTCTCTCCTCATTGATGTTTCTCTCTCTCTCTTCCTCTCTAAAATCAATAAAATTATTTAAAAGAATAAAAGAATTCCTAGAAATAAACTCCACCCAAGATAGTTGCACCAGTGAATTCTATAAAACTTTTAAAGAAGAGATAAAATCAGTCTTCGGAGTAAATTCAACAAAATGGCAGCTCCAAAAATCCATCCCTGCACAGAAACATTGAAACGCAAGCAGAAACCATCAGAAACAACTTTGTCAAAAGTCTGGAAAACACTTAAAGGTTCACAGCAATGAAGCAGATACTGGCATTTTTACTTGCCTTTTCCCCACTACCTCCTTGTTTGGGACCCTAGTCCGTTATTCCAGATGGAGCACAGTAGAATTTACTCACAAATTATTGTGTTTGTGTTCTAATCTGTCTGGGGGCTACCTGAAGGAATGACATAAGGCATTCATCTCTATTTTGTCTAGCTCAGAACCCACTCAGGACAGAAAAGCAGCAGGCATTGCACAACATTGTAAGGTTAAAAAAAAAAAACACAGACTGGGCAAAAGATTATGGTTGAGACTGTTTAATACCTAGGAGGAAAAGCCGTTAAGAAAATTTCTTCAAGAAATTAGGGCATTCAAAAGCACTTATGTGTACTGAGGAATTTATGAAGCCAGGCACATGCTCAGGACAGGGTGCATGCTCAGGAGACCCTAAACTTTCACTGTACGCTCAGTGAGGGGCCCCAACACCGTGCCAATATGTAAAGACGGGAGAGATTTTTTTTTTTCAGTTCCTGGTCTTCAAGGAAATCTCTGTCAAAATACTAGCTGAACACACGCTAATGGAACAGAGGTTTCAGTAACCAGACATGACAAAGAATATTGTTTTTACAAAAATGGTTGGGAAAACTGCAACCTTCAATAATCAAGAACAGCAAACTCTGGAATCAGATTTCCAGAAGTACTACATTATAATATTTGCATACCCAGTTTTCAACAACAACAAAAACACAAAGAATACAAAGAAACAGGAAAGTATGTCCCATTTAAAGAGGAAAAAAACTGAGTTAAACTGCCCTGAGGAAGCCTAGACATTGAACTTACTAGCCAAAGACTTTAAATCAACTTAAATATGTTGTAAGCAATAAAGTAAACCATGGACAAAGGAAACCAGGAAAATAAAGTTATTTAAAAAATGTTATTTCATAATTTCTCTCTATTGATATTCTGGAGCTAAAAAGTACAACTAAAATGAAAACTTCATTACAGGAGTTTAACAAATTTAAGTAGGGGGGAAATATCCAAATTTGATGAACGATATAAATCTATATATCCAAGAAGCTCAACAAACTCCAAGCAGGAGAAACTCAAAGATCCACACTGAGACAACATTATAGTCGAACTGTCAAAAGCTAAAAATAAAAGCAGCAAGAGAGAAGCAATTTCTTACATGTAAGACATCCTCAATAAGATTAATAGCTCTTCTCACCAAACACAATGGAGGCCAAAAGTCAGTGAGATAACAAATTTACTAACATATTTACTACAACATTTTGTTGTAGTAAAGTACTGAAAGAAAAGGGAAAAAAAAGTCTATATCCAGCAACACTATTCTTGAAGAATGGAGGAGAAATTAAGACATTCCCAGATAAATAAAAGCTAAGTGAGTCTACTAGTAGACCTGCCCTAAAAAAAACCCTAACAGAAACCCTTCAGATTGAAACAAAAGAACAATAGACAGTAATTGAAGCTATATGAACAAATAAAGACACTTGTAGGAAGTATGTCTTTGTTTTTTTCTGTGGCTAAGTCTATGTTTCTCCTTATCTCCTTTGTCTCTGGCTTCATTTCATTCTCTTTGAAAGAGAGGTAATTATGGCAATAAAAAAGAATACTGTAATAGGAATTAGAAGACCTATATATAAGTCATGCCCCAATCACTTTGAATCTGTGAATCTGAAGGCAAATAACTTAATGTTTAGAGCAGCAATTTTCAACCAGTGTGTTGCAAAAAATTTGAAACATGCAATACCTATTAAGTCAGGGGCACTGACCTCTTTTCCCTTAGGTTGTCAAATAAAAAAATGACAACAGCCAACACAATAGCCCTCTGGTGTGAATGGAACAAAATTATGGCTTTTCGGGGGGGGGGGGGGGGGGCGGAATCAGATTGGCAAAAAAACGTTTTTTGGTGTGTCACAGATTTTTAGTAATTAGTTTATGTGTGCCAGAGATGAAAAAGGTTGAAAATTGCTGGTTTAGAGAGCTAAGTTTTTATGTAAAATGAATGTTTTGCCTTTTACAAAATTTTTTTAAGATTAAGAGCAGTTGCAAAAGTATTAAATTTTTCATAAACATTAACTGAATTAAAAAATGAACACACTACTCTCTTAGCCTTTCTTTGGTCTTTAAACTGGCCACATATGGTGTTTTACTATTTATATTATAATATTAATAATTACATTGATAACTTATTAATTGAAGGAACTCTTAAGGCAAACTGCTGACATTTACAGAAAGGCGGTTTTGCACTGGCAACCACACACATGATGCTGTCCTCTTTCTATTTTAGTGATTTGAGTCAGAATACCTCTGTTAAGTAGGCTTATTTACAGCAAACCTCAGATTTGGTGAGTAATGATGATAATAATAATAATGATCAAAATCATAATAATAGCCATAGCAATCAATACCATGTGTCAAGTTATTCGAATAAAATAGGTATACCAGTATTCCCTTTTTTATTTTGTGTGGGGGGGTTTTAAATCCTCACCTAAGGATATTTTTCCATTGATTTTCAGAGAGAGTGGAAGAGAGAAAGACAGAGAGAAATATTGATGTGAGAGAAACACATCGATTGGTTGCTTCCTGCATGCACTCTAACCAGGGTCGGGCCCGGGCCGGGGAGGAGCCTGCAACCGAGGGACATACCCTTGACCAGAATCGAACAAGGGACACTTTGGTCCGCAGGCCGACACTATCCACAGAATCAAACCAGCTAGGGCAGTATTCCCTTTTTTAAATGAGGAAACTGACACAAATGAAGTTAAGTGACTTGCCCAATAGTACATAACTTATAAGTGGCAGGGCTGAGTTTTAACCCAGGCAGCCCAAGTCCAAAATCTGCACTGTTCACCACACTATTTGGGCTCTATTTCCTATCTGGTATACAAAAAAGTTACTATCTTTATGATTGGCCTGGGTAGTCAGAGACTGATTAGTCTATTGAGAAAACAAAAAATATGACAAGTCATGGCGGGGGCAGGTGGGAATAGGGGAGCTACCTTTCCCCAAGGTAAAAAGCCACATGCAAATTTATCCTGACTTCTACCACCATTTGTCAGGCATGTATTTTACAGTGTTGTGTTAGGAAGGGAAAGAGAGACTTGAGAAGTTATTTTGTTTGAGTTTTGCTATCAGGTCTGGACCAGAACATCACTTTGCTTTCATGGTACTAGGTTAGCAAAATCACCTAAATTCTCCCCAACCAAATGGCCTCAGTCTTAATTTCCCTTATCCAATTACAGAGAGATGAGTCTTGGCAGCTCTAACATGCTTTAAGTTTCTTATAAGTTTATTCATTCAATTTAGTGCCAAACACTGTGTTAGATGCTGTTGAAATAAAGATAAATAAAATATGATCCTATTACCCCTTGAGGAGCTCATAGTTCAAAGAAGATGAGAGACACAGATATGTTTATTACTTTTAGAGAGAGGGGGAGGGAAAGAGAAAGAGAAACATCAATGTGAGAGAGAACATCTACTGGTTGCCTTCTATATGTGTGCCAACTGGGGATTGAACCTGCAACCTTTAGGTATATGGGAAGACGCTCTAATCATCTGAGCCATGCTGGCTTTGGTCAGACCAAAATTTTTTTTAAGCCACTTGGTATGGTACAGAGTGAGCCTAGAGGAAGCAGGAGTTAGCGCTCTCTAAAGATGGAAAATTTAGGAGAGGCATTGACCATATAAAATTGCTTACACAAATGATAATTATATATGATTCAACCTAAGAGTTAACATTTGAGCTAGTTCCTGTTGGGTAAAAGAAGAAGGGAAAGTAAGGGTATTAGAGGAGAGTGCAGAGGAGATCAGATTCCTTAACTTACATGGAACACTGTACGCTTCTCACTTTTATTATGTATAATAAATATAATAATGTATATAATAATTATGTACAATAAAATATATGTATAGCAGCAAGAAATGAAAGACAACACACACATAACAACACCCTTTTGATTTTTCTTTATACTTTAAAAGTATAAAGTACCTTTTCTTTCATCCTTTAATGATAATCCATTTTCAAACTAAGGAATCACAAAAATGTAAAACCTCTCCAAATCTCCAAACCATATAATACATTACATAGATTATGCTAGAAATTCTGATACATATTCAGTTTTTATACATCTCAGAATTTTCTGGATTAGCTAGGAGCCCACAAAACTGTAAAGGCTCCCCAAATGTGGTTATTTAAAAGTTACAATTTTGTCTGGCATTTTCTATGGGACTGGTGTGTGTGGCAAATAAAGGTTGCAAAGTCTGAACTATGTAGATGCTCAATGGTGTTTATCTTGTAATGTCCTTGATACATAACTTAGCAGTTTTTATTTAAAAATCATAAAAGTTCTTTCATTTGTTTAACTCATTATTATGTGGCTGCTATGCACTAAGCTAGTCCTTTGAAAGACCAAGATGGGGATAACAACTTGTCAAAAAGCTTGCTTCCAATTAGGCTGCAGATTTACTTTGCTGAACCAGTAATTCTGGCTACAAGAGAGAGGTTCATTTTCTACTTCATTAAATGGATGAATCAACTCCACTGCCAGACTCAGATTCCCAAATTCCTAAGAGTACAAAGCTCTAGTATGGTCTCAAACTAATTTCATTACATGAGAGATCAAGCAAATACATAGAAAACAGATCAGTTAGGCCACTGTGTGTGCTTGTGTAGCCACATTTCCCTCCGTACGTTCGAAATTGCCACATTCTCACTCCTACTGTTGTCCTTTATGTCGAAGATACCAATGTAAAGTATCAGTGAAGCTTAAAGTATTTTCAAAAATCCGTTGTTTCATTTATTCCTGTGATTATTTAAAATGAGTATATGATGGAAAAGCCAAAGTAAAAAAATGGGCATATGACATAGACAAATAGTGGTATAGTCAGTAAATTATTTGTTGTAAAGTTCTCTTTAACCTGTGAAAGGAAATATGTAGATTTTCCTTTAAAAAGAGGGAAAATTTTTAATTATAGAAACAGCCCATTAATATTTAGACACAGCCCATTAATTATAGAAACAGCCCATTAATATTTAGACGTAAGAGTTTGCTTTCATAGTTCTGCAAAACTTTTAATAAAACTTTTAATCTACTCAAAGTAAAAATTAGGAAATCAAAATTTTCTCTAAGCCCAGGGGTTAGCAAACTTTTCCTGCAAAGGGTCAGAAAATAATTATTTTAGGCTATGGCAGGGATGGGGGGTAGTCTATACTGTTTGTGTCACAACTACTCAACCTTGCTCTTGCAATGTAATAGCCACAACACAGTCAATACTTAACAGGAGTGTATCCTAATAAAACTATTTAAAAACTAGGTAGTGAACTGGCTTTGGTCCAAGGGCCATAATTGGCTGATTCTTGTTCTTGTCTCCTAAGTTAGTATTACACCTAAATCATCTTACATGAGAAAATGCAAACTATCCTTTGAATGAGGAAATAACTATTTTTAAGCTGAGGGGAAGGAGGGAATAGGGGGGAATGAACAGGTGAGAGGAGAAAATAAAAAACCAGATGAGATACACTCAAGAAGGGAAAGGATTAATTATTCCATTAGGTTACCTTCTGTGGATCTGAATTCTTCTTCCATTGGAGTAGTTTTTATACCCAGGTTGTCATCACTGTCACATTCTATAAGGCAGAATCAATAAATGCAAATGAATTTCTGAAGAAGTTATTGTGCCATAATTTATGTATTCTCAAACAACATTTATCAATGACTTCTCCCATACCCATGCTTACTAATTATCATCCATTAGAACACCAATTTCCCTTTAGGTTTGTTGTTGTTGTTGTTGTTTATTTTTTTTAAATGATTATCAAATTACATTACATAAATCAAGAATAAAATAAAAACTAATGAAATAGGCAATTCAATTTTAGTTCTATAGTCAAAGAATTATTTGAAAAAATTCTTTTAACATAACTATTGAATAGAAAATTCTAGTATTTAAAAAAACTAAATTATAAGATACCAGTAAACTCCAAAGTTTCACTTGCATGAAATCATCTGACAACCTTGGTGCCATATAAAATTCTCCTATATTTTGAAAATCATATGCATTCACCTCTATAGAGACCAGAGAATTAACAATGCCTCTGCATGGGACAAACTTACTCAACTCATGTCTTATATGCTTTTATAATGAGAGCTAAGGCTTTATGAAAATGATATGACTGACCAGATATTGCCAACATCACTTCAAATTTGAACCATAGTGTATCAATGACCTAATATTTGGCTTTTTACTTTAACTACATTCACACACACACACACACACACACAGACAAAAGTAAGTTTATAGTTGTGAGTATACAAAACAATTTATTCTTGTATTATTATTTATTAATTATTTTCCATATGAACAACTGTAAACCAACTTTTGCCCCACCCTGTATATAGCTCAGAATGATGGCATCAGGGTTTAAATACATAAATACAAGTCAAATGGACATATTTGCTTCTCTAGAAATACTTAAAAACTTAAAATATACATTTAAAAGTTAAAGACTTGTAATTGTTTATAAATAAAAATCACTGCATATCCCTTATATTCCTTTGCTGCAAAAACTTGTTATTAGAAGTTATCTTTTGCCATTCCAGCAAAAATACTATTGCTTTTTCTACATTCTGTTATATGCACCTGATACTTCAAATATTCCAAGCAATATTTTAGGAAAATAAAACATTACAGTTACAACTTGAAGAATAACAAATTAAGTTTAAAACATTAGGTACAAAGATAAAATACCCAAGCTTTCTGCTATCATAATTCAAAGTCAAGGCCTGTCAAAAGCAGAATGTCTTAACTGGTCTAAACAATTCATCATTGCAGCCATTGCAGGACATGAGCTCCACAGAGACAGTGCTGGGTCAAGCGTGAGCAGGACAGGCACTGGGAGACTCTGTGCTCACTGAGGAAAAGTAACTAGTCATGGGTAAAGGGGCTCATAAGAAGCCGAGAGGCAAAATGTCATCTGCTTTCTCTGTGCAAACCTGCCTGGAGGAGCACAAGCAGCAGCACCCAGATGCTTCCGTCAACTTCTCAGAGTTTTCTAAGAAGTGCTCAGAGAGGTGGAAGACCATGTCTGCTAAAGAGAAAGGAAAATTTGAAGACATGGCCAAAGGTGGGCAGGCCCATTATAAAAGAGAAATGAAAACTCGTATCTCTCCTAAAAGGGAAACCAAAAAGCAATTCAAAGATCCCAAAGCACCTAAGAGGCCTCCTTTGGCCTTTCTCTTGTTTTGTTCTGAATATTATCCGAAAACAAAAGGAGAGCTCCTGGCCTCCATTGGTGATGTTGCAAAGAAGCTGGGAGAGGTGTGAAGTAACACTGCTGGAGGTGACAAGTAGCCTGATGAAAACAAAGGTGGCTAAACTGAAACATGGAAAGGATATTGCTGCATTCAAAGCTAAAGGAAAACCTGATTGAAAAAAGCAAGAAAAAGAAGGAAGAGGAGGAAGATGAAGAGAATGAGGAGGAAGATGAATCAGTTGGTTCTAGCAGTTTTTTTTTCCTCGTCTATAAAGCATTTAACCCCCTTATATACAATTCACCCCTTTTTTTTAATCGAAATGTAGGGCTGTGTAAAATTTGTTTTTAAACTGTATAGTGTCTCTTTTAACACACCACTACATATGTCTTTAGACAGCCCTGGTCCTGGTGGCATTCTGACATTCTGAATGCTTTGCTGCTGACATTCTGAATGCTTGATACTAAGCTTAGTTTGTTACTAGTTTGCAAAAATTAAAAATGATTTCCTCTCCTCAATCAGCTCTACCAGTAGTAGAGAATTTCATCCTATTTTCAGAACTTTGAACAGAATTACAGCATATAGATTTTAGAGATGGTGTCCAAAGAAACAACATATAATTTCATTAACAGGCTGAGGAAACAACAGGCAGGTAGACTTTTAGAATGAAGTTCAACCATTGTTTTACATAATGCCTGTTCCATAGAGCTTGATGCTACTTCAGTCATCTGTACTTTCATAGCATGAGTGAACTTTTATGTTCAATTTTTAATAAGGCTTTTAAAATCTATGTAACAGATATGATTCTGTACATACCAACTATGCTTAATACCTAACCCCATTCATTCCCAAAGAAAGTAGATACAACAAAGTAGATACAACAATGTCCTAGGTCCATAAACCAGAAAGACCAAGAAGAGTATTCAGATTCAACAAGAATTTTCTTAAAGCATAGTAAACTGTGTTCTCAACTTGAATTCACTAGTATAACAAACAGCCTATGCTCAAATTCACTTTTGCATTACCTCAGAAAAAATATTCTAGGTAATACTTTGCATAAAATTGCAAAGAGGATGTTTAATTTATGTAAGAATGATAAAGTATTAAATATATAAAACAATGTCTTTAAAAAGAAAATCTGACATTAATCAAGTTAATGTTCTTCCACTAAGCCACAAGATATGGTCAAGTTCTTTTATATAAACAGATCATTAAGAGCCCACAAAATTTTTTATATAAGCAATGAAACAGTAAAAAATAGTAATTCAGAAATTCAATCAACACATTTGTCTAAGGTAGGTGTAATAATCTAACACTTTGGAAAATAAAACCAAACAAGAAACTCTTAAAATATGTGTGGTCAGTGTAGTAAGAACAAGAAGCATAGTCGTTTCATCTTAGGAGAATGATTTACAAGCATGGGAGCAACATCATACAAGGCAAATGAAAAGTGGTGCTTGCATGGCTTCTATAACTCAGCATGCACTCATCACATTGAGATTGCATTTCTACAGTCACAAGAAAAGAAAATGGGGCTTATTTGTTAAATTATGAGACAAAAGATCCCAGGGATCTTATAATGCTGATCACTTCCCTTGGCTATGATTGACATATAATCAGCTTACTTTTTTAATTACCAGAATCCAAAATCAAATCTCTTTATCTTCTGAAAACAAAACCCCACATCTTCCTGAATGTTATTTAAAAAAAAAAAAAAACACCTCTATTTGATGTCTTTACCAAATTGATTCTGCAAATGTTGTCAGACTGCGGCAGAAAGACTCTCATTATCTTCACTCTTCCAGGATATGTTGAGAGACAATAATTCACTGGAGTCTCTCTATACCATAAAATTAGGCATTTGTATTGGTGATACTGATGGGGGGTAAAAACACATGTGTCCACATGTAGCTTTCTGGACCCCTGCTTCCTCATCTATAAAATGGGGTACTTAACACATCACTCATAATGTTGCAAAGAGGATTAAACAACATGTGGAAGAAGTTCTTTAAACATATTCTAACACTACAAATATAAAAAGCAGCTAGCCTGATGGCTGGCACATAATAGGTCCTCAATAAAGGTTAGTTTCCTTACTCTTCTCTGAAACAACATTTATGTGACAAGTGATATTTGCACCTTTGAAACATGAGGCTTAAATTAACATATATTTGTGAGGAAAAAATGTAAAAGGTCTAAAAGAGCCTCTACCTGGCTCCTCTAATTAGGATCCATGTATCTTGGCAAATTTTTTAAAAAAGTGAAGTACATTATAAAATAAAATTAATGAAGGATAAGGGGGCCAACGGTGTTAATTAAGACAGATTAATATTCTAAAATATCTCTATAATGATATAAGTATTTTTATATATCATAGCTGTAATAAAAATGTTAGTACTAAAACTCTGATGCTTAGGAGGAGAGAGAATTTACAGGCTAAAAACCATGACGTATTTAAATCTCAAAATTAGTATAAAGGCTCACTTTGCTACAAAGAGTAACTGATTTAGCTTAACTAACCAAGTCAGAGAACCAAAAATGTACCAGTAGTAAAGCTGCTTACCTACCTGTTCCCTTCCTACCAAGCAAAAGAGTGGTACCTTATGGCCAAATGACTGGACATCTATATATGAAACCAGCAACTCCAAATCTCTCTACTTTTACTGAAATAAGTACCTCCTGAAAAAATTTTCAATTAACTGAAAAATTGGCAAAGATTAAATTCTCAAAGTATTAAATATCATATGATCACTGATTCTCATGACACTATTTAACAGATTCTTCCTGTTATACAAAACCACTTTCTGGTCCTAATAATGAAACATGTCTGAAAAGTTAGAGAATAAGAGGTTCAAACTTATATCATTTGTCTATAGTATGGTGATTTAAAAACCCAAAAAGTTGCCAGATTGCTTATAAAATAATGATAAACATGTGAGAACTTCTATTGTATGTTACTTATAGTATGAACTTTTGTCATATTCTAAAATAAGAGTTGTATGGGTTGGTTAGTTTGTTGGTAACCAGAAATTTTGAGACCACAAATCCCCTGAAACTGTATGTGATTTTGTATATACATGTTTGCTTTTATGGAAAGAGGCTTTGGTCAGATTCTCAAAAAGACTCACTGATTCTGCCCAGAAAACCACACTGTGTTAAGAGACTGGTTGCCAAATCTGAACATGGGAACACTATGCTAAGAAGCTAGATGAAGAAGCGATCCTGGCATTCTTGTGGTAACCAAAATTACCCTAAAGGCACAACAAGAGTTACCATATTTATGGACATTGATTTTCTAAATCACAATCCATATAAAGACCACAATCCTTAATAGAAACTATTACTCTACTATTCAAAAAGCCATTTGTTAGGAAATGTGATAAAGTTATCCAAGAAAGTGATTGTTCTTTGAGTTTATTACTACATTAGGTCCCCCGTATCCACGGTTTTACTTTCTGTGGTTTCAGTTACGTGTGGTCCACCATGGTTCAAAAATATTAAATGAGCCGAACCGGTTTGGCTCAGTGGATAGAGCGTCGGCCTGCGGACTCAAGGGTCCCAGGTTCGATTCCGGTCGGGGGCATGTACCTTGGTAGCGGGCACATCCCCACTGGGGGGCGTGCAGGAGGCAGCTGGTTGATCTCTCTCATCGATGTTTCTGACTCTCTGTCCCTCTCCCTTCCTCTCTGTAAAAAAATCAATAAAATATATTTTTAAAAAAATTTTAAATGAAAAATTCCAAAAATAAACCATTAATAATAGGTTTTAAATTGTGTACTATTCTGTGTACCATGATGAAATCTCATGCCATCCAGTTCCATCCCCACCCAGGACATGAATCATCCCTTGTCCGGTGTCTACACTGTACAGTTGACCCTTGAGCAACACTGGTTTGAACTACATAGGTCCACTTATATATGGACGTTTTCAACTGACCTTCAAGGGTCTACCCTGTGGTAGGGAATCTATATTTAGAAGACTGACTGTAGTTATATGCAGGTTTTTGTGCAAGAGGTCAGTAACCCTAACCCCTGCATTGTGCAAAGGACAACTGTATATATATGCTGTTAGTCACTTAGTAGCTGTCGTGGTTATCAGATTAACTGTCAGGTACCTCATAGTACTTGTGTTCAAGTCACCCTTATTTTAGTTAATAATGGCCCCAAAGCTTGAATGGCAATGCTGGCAATTTGGATATGCCAAAGAGGAGCCATAAAGTGTTCTCTTTAAGTGAAAAGTTTATGTATTTTATAAAAACACAGTATATATTGGGTTTGGTATTGTCTGCAGTTCCAGGCATCCACTGGCAGTCTTAGAAAGCATCCCCACAGGGGGGGTGGGGGAGGGAAGGAGGTACTATTGCATAAGTTCACTATCAGGCAATTTGATGTCTTTAAGTTGTTCATGAAGAAAAAAATTGTGTCTTCAATCAGGTAACTGAATACTATGATTGAGCATAACTTATTTTTTTGAATTTTAGAATTACAAAAGCATCTTTAAATTTAGATCTAAATAAAATATGATTTAAGGACATATTTCTTTGGCTACTTAATATTAATAATTTTCATGACTTAAAATGTAGTTGCCATGACACATGAAAAGATGCTCAACATCACTAATCATTAAGGAAATACAACTCAAAACTACAGTGAGATACCACTTTACACCCTTTAGGATGGCTTCTATCAAACACAAATAAACAAAAAGGAGAAAATAGCCCTGGCTGGTTTGGCTCAGTAGATAGAGGGTTGGCCTGGTTGAAGGGTCCCAGGTTCAATTCTGGTCAAGGGTACATGTCCGGGTTGTGGGTTTAATCCTCAGTAGGGGGAGAACAGGAGGCAGGAGGCAGCCGATCAATGATTCTCTCTCATCATTGATGTTTCTACTCTCTCTCCCTCTCCCTTCCTCTCTGAAATAAATTTAAAAAAAAATTTTTTTTTAAAGAGCAGAAAATAATAAGTGCTGGCAAATATGTAGAAAAATTGGGAATCTGGTGCACTGTTGGTGAGAATGTAAATAAAATGGTATTGTCCCTGTGAAAATCGGTACGGTAGTTTCTCAAAAAATTAAAAATAGAATTTGCATATAATCCAGCTATTCCATTCCTGGGTATATACTCAAAAGAATTGAAAGCAGGGTCTTAAAGAGATATTTGTATACCCACAATCATTGCAACATTATTTGCAACACTATTCACAGCAGCTAAAATATGGATACAATTAAAGTATCCATCGATTAATAAGTGGATAACCAAAATGGAGTGTGTGTGTGTGTGTGTATGTGTGTGTGTGTGTGTGTATATATATATATATATATATATATATATATATATATATATATTAGAATATTATTCAGCTGTAAAGAGGAAGGAAATTCTGACATATGCTGTAACATGGATGAAACCTGAGGGCATTATGTTATGCTAAGTGAAATAAGCCAGTCACAAAAAGACAAGTGCTGCAGATTTCACTTATATGAAATACTTAGGACAGTCAAAATCAGAAAAAGAAAGTAAGTGGTGGTTGCCAGGGGCTGGGGGAAAAGGGGAATGGAGAGTTATTGTTTAATGGGGATAAAGTTTCAGTTTTGCAAGATGAGAAGAGTTCCGAGATGAATGGTGGTGATGGCTACACAACAATATAAATGTAGTTGATACTATTAACCTGTATATTTCAGGATGATTAAGATGATAAAGCTTATGTTTTGTACATTTTACTACAATTTTAAAAAGTTGGAAAAAAAACTAAAAAAAATCTATTGGCTAGGAATCATATTTTCTTTTTACAGTATTAATAAAAATAGCTGCTATTTATTAAGTACCTACAGCATTTTATACATATCACTAATTTCTACAACCTTATCGATATGAAAAGCGAGACTCATAAAAAGTTGAGTAACGTGCCTGAACTCACAAAGCTAGGAAGCAGCAAAATTAGCATTCAAACTAAAGCCCATGCCATTCTTTATGCACTGCATGATCTCTGCATTTCACAAAAATTCAGAATAAAGTACACATGTGCTCCCAAAGAGCAGTAAGTTCAATCGTTGTGAACAAATGATGACAAAACCCAAAAACCTAGAGCATAAAAGAGGCATTTGGAAGGGAAAAATCAGCATATAACAATAATCTATATATTACCTCCATCCCTAATATACCCATGCAGATCTACTCATATGCAGTTCTCATTCCAAAGTTGAAATAAAGGCAAGTCTAAAAGGCTTCACATTCTAAATTGCAAAACTAACACTCCCAAAAGCATCAGCAAAAAAGAAGAAAAGGGGTTGGCGTATGATAGCAAAGGTATAAATTTTACAGCATATTAAATAAATGTTAAGAAAAAAAGGATGGCAAAAGAGTAGAAAAAGAAGACACTTGGAAAACAACAATACCACCAAAGCTTAAAATAAAAGAATAGGTAAAACCAAAAACTGCAGAACAGAAAGATAAAAGTCAATACTAAGACATGACACAAATATGTAAAAGTTAATTTTCCTTTAAAGTGTATAGTTGATCTTGATTAATGAATGACTCCTAAGTTTGTGGAAGTGAATTAATTCACTGTAAGAAATGACTCAGCAACATTCTTCAGAATGGGTTTTCCATCAAAATGTGGCTCCAAATAAGTTGAATGAAAAAAATAGCTAGAAGGTGAGCAAAGTTGAAAAACTTAAAGGCATATAATAAAAATGCCAAAAAGTAGTTAGTTTTTCATGGAGGTCATTCATCAATACCTTCTGTTCTTATTCATAACTGCAAATTCTAGGGCATTTAAAAAGTATTATTTTATTCTCTTCTACTCACATTTATTTCAGAAATTCTGAAAAAAAGAAAAAAAAGAAAACCCCTTCTGAACCTCTAGAATTACATTCTTTCTTAAATACTGGTGAAACTGGACAACAGTACTCTCTTTCTTTGAACAATTTCAGAAAGACAGAGAAGAGAGTGTAAGTTTCAGGACTAGGATGGGGAGTACCTAGCCCTTCCAAGGAACTAAAGAGCCTGGCCAGCATGGCTCAACGGTTGAGCATTGACCTACGAACCTAGAGGTCACGGTATAATCCCCAGTGTGGGGCATGCAGGAGGCAGCCAATCAATGATTCTCTCTGATCACTGATGTTTCAGTCTCTCTCTTCCTCTCCCGTCCTCTCTGAAGTCAATAAAAATATATTAAAAAAAGAAAGAAAGAAAACTAAAAGAAGATCTTTCTGAGCTTCATTTTGTCACTGTCAAATTCTTGAATGGTCTTTTTCTTGGGGAGGAGGGATACTGACATATTATTATTTATTGCTTTCTGGATTCACTTTTAAAAACTTTGTTTTCTGAAATATTAAAGATAAATTTGGAATTTCAGAAACAAAGTGAAGGTCTAGATTCTTAGTTTTGTAAAATTGTCCTAACATTATTTCATATCATCAATATGTTATATACATGAATGTAGATTTTCTCTATTAGATAAAAAAATGTTTCAAAAGATTATGAATTCATTCTAGTCTAAAAAACTTAAGAATGGAAGTGAGGTAAGGAAAAAACAAATAGAAGTATGAGAGCATGATGGTTTAGTGAGCAGGCAACAGTTCACGAGTGGACAGCAGTTTATTATTTCTCTCAGCAGTGAAGTCTCCTCCTCTTGGGTGGTTTACACTGTGACTGCAGCTGCATACCTTTGGTGGTATCAGATATGCTATTTAACAAGGCACACATCATATCACCCTCTAAGTGGTGAGGGTTTAGTATATGTGCTGGCCTCTGAGTCTTCTTAAATTGATTCTCTAGCTCCAGAAAACCTTGATCTCCTGAGAGGATGGTGAAAGGAATTTGCTTGGGTAGTTGTTCATCTAGACGGCCAGCCTAAGTTGGAACAAATAGCAAATGTTGATAAAAGTTATCATTTGAGTTTCAAATAAAGTTACATCTATTTCAGAATGAATACACACCTAGGAAGGATATAGATTGTTTCCTAGTTCCCACCAAAGTCAAGATCTCCTTCATAAATGAAATACACCACATTTAATGAAATGTAAAATACCATCAACTGCAAGATAAGCTATTTTATGTGGAAGGAAGGAAGGAGGGAGGGAAGGAAGGGAGGGAGGGAAGAGGAAGGGAGGGGCCAAAAGGAGTCCAATAGGAGGCCCCTATCTTAAAGCTGAAATGCTATAAATCAACCACAGAGAAAAGGTAAGCAACGTAACTATCACACTCAATATTGGCACTGGATAGGTGGAAAAAGAAATCTCTTGTGGTTTAAAACATAAGCATCATTCAACAAGTTTTCAGAGTAAATTCATGTTAGAAATGTGACACATAAATCTTTAAGCAGAGAATTTAATTTAAACTGGTCTCAGGCTGGTTGTTTCTCTGGGTGACTTGCAAAGCAGAAGCAAATGCAAATCCTGTCTAGCCAACAGTGATTGTTAAGTTGCCTCCCAATTTCAGAGATGTTAAAACGTGAAAGTGTCTTAGTATACCTCAAGTGCAGTGTCATCTCTTGATCATTTATTCCATAAATAGTTGAGAGTTTACTATGGTAACTAAGAGTCTGCTAGAAGTTAGGGAAAAAGCAGTAAATAATTAAGCTCTAGTCTCTGCCCTTATAGTAGTCATAAGTAAAACCTGATATAGGAGGTTTAATACAAAAATATAATACTGAAGAATGATCTACAGTCTCGTTATGATTAAAGTGGGGGGGGGGGATCCAAATGGGTCCTAGATTCCCATTAAATCTGGAGTAAAACAATGACTCACATGCATACATATGGCAAAATCAGCAGCATCTTTTCTTTTACTACAACGAGGATGAAGGAAGAAGCATCCAATCCTATTCAGGTAATTATAGATCTTACAGTTGAGTGGAGGCTTCCAATTGGTGTTTCCTCCTATTATTTTTTAAAAAGGCATAAATGATAGTCAAATGGGAGAAAAAAAACCAAACACTAGATACAACTTAAAATTTTATCAAGAAAACACACTAGGGGGAAAAAAAGTGTTATAGAGAGAAAGTACCAGATTAGAATGCAGAAGAACTCAGTTCTAGTGCAGGTATCACCATCTTGTTGCTTTACAATCTTGGGAACGTAGACCAACTTCCCTGAATCTGCCTATTCATCTGAAAACTCACAGGGATATTAAGGAGAATCAAAAGTAATGTGTGAAAATTTTTTGAATGGTATCGTTCCATATGAATGTAAGCATTAGTGGTTTTTCACAAATATGTCAAGGCTGTCTTGTGGAGAGACATGATGGGCAATTAGCAAAGCTAGATTTACGAAAAGGTTGTACTGGCTAACTTATCCAGGTCACTATGTTTCTATCTTAAATTCCAATTCTCTTTATATGTGGCTTCCTATCAAACATGAAGTATATCAGATGCTCATTATACTAAACTTCTATAAGTCAAAGAAGTCTTTTTCCAAGGTTTGGTCAATGGTGTGTAAAAAGATTTAGATAAAGTTGCACATTTTTTAATAGTAGCATAGTTGCCACAAGGCCCAAGTTCAAAAGCTAACTCTGCTACTTATTAGTTTTATACTTCAGAAAAAAAATAAACTTCTCAGCCTACTTCTTTGTATTTTAAAATCAGTAAGCATGCATTAGCACCAAGTATAGTACCTGGCACACTGAAGGTATTAAATAAAGGCTTTTTCAAGCTGTATCTAAAGATCAATAAATTTTGGGTGACCAAAGAGCTAACATTTACCATAGAGAAATGTAGAAAAAAAAATTCTAGCAGAATAACTATCATGTAAATTGACAATATTGCAATATGTTCCTATGTTCAATTCAGGAAGGTTCAAGAGGAGTCCTTTAAAGTGAACCATATTCTAAGAAGAAAACAAAAGGGGGATTGCCTCAAATGTTTTCCTTATTAACCATACCTTGAAAGCCCCAAATAAATGTTCCTTGGTTAAGATGCCCTGGTAGATGACCAAAAAAGTTGGACCAGTTATCAAAATCTACAAATACTATATGAGTCATGGTTCGCAGGTAATCCAAATCTGGAAGCTCAACAACTTCATCTAAGAAAAAAACATTAATATGGATTCAGTAAGAATTAGCTAAAAACATTTTAATTTCTCAGAGAATTAGCATGCAAAATATTAATCTTGCATGTTATTCTCATCTAAGCCTTTTTGTAAAGTTCAAACCTATACATGACACAGTACATTTAAGTTGGATAATTTTGTTCTTTTCCTAATATAGACTGATTTATTAATAGCCCTCTGGCTTGTGATTAAACACCATAATGAGCAGAAATGAGATAACCTACAACCTGCACCATAAAGTGGTGCATAATAGGAACTGGTGACACTTCAGTACCTTCACTACAAGCACATCTTTCTTGGTTCTCTCAGATTCTTTCATACTCTACCACACTCCAACTCTCCCTTCCTTTCCCTTCTTTCATACTTTTCAACCCTGACAAAGCCTTAAAGTCTCTAGTGGTAGCAATGAAAACCTTAAAATGTTAAATTATTTATAAAATAAATAGCTTCTGCTCCACCTAACAGAGAGTCCCTCAAATATACTACTGCATCCCCTCCCATTTCCAAGCCACCCATCATGTTATATCTTTTCTTAAAATTCTAATTATTGTAGATTTAGATACTACAATCATCTTCTATTAAACACAACCAATCCAAATTCCCAAAAAATAATCAGAAGAGCAATAGAAAAGCAAAAGAAAACATAAAACGGGGTGACCACAGGTTTACTGTTTGAAGTAGTGTTAAATAGGTCTGTAGTATGTCAGTTAATAATTTCTTACATAAAATATGCCATGACTAAAGGTGATGCTGAGATCTACATGTGCCAGACAGCAAGCCTGTAAAAATTCAATATTTCATAAAAATACTTTACTAGCCAAAATTTTCAGATACCCTCATTGTCTCCACTCTACATGGTAAAACTTATCAAGAGTTAATATTTATGGTGAAGGAATTAAACAAAGAAAAAAACAGTTCATAGATACAGACAACAATATGGTGATTATCAGAGGGAAAGGGGGTTAGGAGGAGGTAGAAGAGGGTGAAGTGGGGATAGATGGTGATGGAAGGAGACTTGACTTGAGGTGGTGAACACATAATGCACTGTATAGATGATGTATTATAGAATTGTACACCTGAACCCTATATAGTTTTATTAACCAATGTCAACCCAACAAATTCAATAAAAATTTTTTAAAGGATATAGACTTGCAATTATACTCTAAACAAAACAAATTATATCTCTAAACAAAAATACTGCACTCTTCTATGCTTACTTAATCTTACCATATAGGAGAAGGAAAGTCTAGAGTAAGTACAAACAAGAGATCCACACCTCATTTCTCTCCCTGGTTTTTGCTACCACTTGTAACTCTACCTCTAATTCCTATTTTAACTATAAGTAAAAGCTTTGGCCCTGACCGGTTTAGCTCAGTGGATAGAGCGTCAGCCTGCGGACTCAAGGGTCCCAGGTTCGATTCCGGTCAAGGGCATGTACCTTGGTTGCAGGCACAACCCCAGTAGGGGGTGTGCAGGAGGCAGCTGATCGATGTTTCTCTCTCATCGATGTTTCTAACTCTCTCTCCCTCTCCCTTCCTCTCTGTAAAAAATCAATAAAATATATATTTTAAAAAAAAAAAAAGCTTTGATTAAAAACAAATCATAACAAAAATATACAAATTCTAAAGTGACCTTGAAGATTTCTTGTACTTATAGAATAAGGCCAAAATAGAAAAAAAAAAAAAGAATTCTACTTGATTTATCATCACTTGAATTAACTAAAATCAAAATAATATGTCCAGGATAACTTTAAAATCTTACTTTCTGAAACACTAAAGTTCTTTCATCTCTCAAAATCCCCATGCTTTTTGTAAAAGAAAAAATGTTATCTAAAATATATACTACTTAAAGCTAACATACACTCTTGGTCCCCTGAAGTTTAGAAAATGGCTGGCTGGATGTAGTAGTAGGAATATAAATCCCTACACAGTATATGCTACAGTAATTAACTAATGTTTCATTCAATCATGCTTGTTGCTTTAAAACTGAATCATTAGTTTTCACAAAAATGATGGCTATAATACACATTTCTACATTAATATAGAAACCTGCACAGACATTTGAGTGGTAAAGCATACCTATATTCTGACAGCTGAGGTCATTCTCGGCTTCTTTCTCCATGTCTGAATTTTTTGGATAGCTTACTGCCTGTTTCAGTTTTCTCTCTGTACGTGAGGCATTGGCAGCAAACTTGTACGGGCTTGTTTTTTCAAATCCAAAATGCGCCACACTGGGTTTCTGTAAGAAGCAATGTTTTGTGTGGAAGTGCTGCTGAGCACTCTCAGGATCATGAAACGCTTTGGTGCAGGTGCCACACTTGATTACATACTGCTGCTCCTCCTCCACCCTCTTTGCTTCGCTGTGCACTTGATGGATGTGAGTGTTCATGTCAGCTGCATTCTGTGCTGTTGCTGAACACAAACTGCAGCGAAACCACAATTTACCTTTACCCAGCATCGTTTGGAGACATCTACTATAATCTTCTCTTCTGTTGACTTTACAGATGTAACTCTCACGGCAACCACAGGTTAACAGATTACTGGTCTCTAGCACAGGAAAATCATTCTCAGTTTTAATTGAAATTTCAGTTTTTTCTGGCACAAACACATAATCAATGCTGTGGTGCTCCTTATAATGACTCAAAAATGCTTCTTCCACATTAAAGGTGAGATCACAAAGCCCACAGAAGTACTTAATCTTTATCTCATTGTCATGTGCATCCTGGCAATGTCGGTAAAGTGTTTCTATCTTGTGAAAAGTCTTTTTGCAATGGGCACAGCTGTATCTATGAAACTGGTGACTTGCTAAAGACATGCAATGCTGTTTTACACATTCTTGGGAATCAAACATATCTTCACAGATTCGGCATTGCCATTTACCCCTTGGAGGACTGTTTGATGGGGAATGATCAACAATAGGAACAGTTGAAGAAGGATTCTTAACAGTCAAATTACTCCCCAATGTTGTAGAGGATGATGGCAAAGTTTCACTTTCTACCTCATCTGTCTCATAAAAATACCTGTGACCACTATGAAATTCAGTCACATGTGCCATGATAGTTTCTTTCCTTGTTAACTCCTTTTTGCATGTTCGACACCAGAAAAGAAAGTTATTTAAATGTGCCCCTCCATGAATCCGGCTCATATGTAAACGGATTACACCTGAATCTTCACAAACCTTTCCACAAACCACACACTTATAACACATTGTATTTGCTGAGAAAACATGCTTTTCTACTAAATCTTCACTTGGGAATCGTTGATGACATTCACAAAACCAGGTTTTAACAACTGACTTTCCTTCCTGGACACAAACTGTACCTTCATGGCTTTTATCTTCTAAGTTCATCTTTTTTTTTGGAATGGTACTGCAATCTTGTGAGCTAGATTCTTGGAAAGACATAGTTCTTTTAAGTGATGAAAATTTCGATTGATCTAGCAATAGATTCAAGTCAGAAGGAGATTTGTTCCCTTCACTGATGTAGCTATAAAGTAAGACTGATTCTTCCATTGAGTTAATAATTCGGACTTTGTGTCCTAAATTTTGCTTGTGGTTTCGGGTACTGCTTTCATTCACAAAGGCTTGGTTGCAATTTGGACAATAACCTCTTAATATGAATTTCTCTGCAATCTGGGCAATGCTTTTCTCAGCTACAGCTACAGGACCAGCATTCCGACAACGAACTCTAAAGTGGATAAGAAAAGGTGAAGGGATTAAGCAAAACAAAACAAAACAAAACTCATAGACACAAACAACAGTATGGTGACTGCTAGAGAGAAAGGGGGGTAGGGGGTGATAGAAGAGTGGGATAAATGGTGATGGAGGGAGACTTCACTTGGAGTTGTGAACACATAATACAACATACAGGTAATGTATTATACAATCTATACTGACACCTATATAATTTTATTAACCAATGACACTGGAATAAATTCAATTAAAAAAGACTTAAAAATAAAATGGATAAGAAAAACTCATAAATATTTTCTAAATGCAGTATCTCTGCTTTTATTGTAGGAATTATAAAATAAACAACATATACATAAGCACTAAAAGATATTTCTCAGTAAAGATGCAGGTTATATAATATTCTATCAGTTCAATGTACCTGAGTATTATTACCTACATTTTGTCTGTTTCTATCCTATATACAAATGGGTAAAACTACAATCAAAAGATTTTTTAAAAATCAGACAAACTTTTAAAAACTAAGAACAGAATCAAATACACTGACAGAGGACCTTATCAGACAAGCAATAATTTCTTTCTGATAATTAAACTGGGGGAGGAACGCTATGGTAAGATTCTCAATAACCTGGTACCCATTCCTTAAGAACTGATTTATTTACTTTATGTCAGGAATATGCCATGTCCATAGTTACTTTTATATTAAAGAATCAGGCTCAACTAAGTGAAACACTATTCCAAAAATTAACTAAAAATAAATCATCTCTAGGGAAAAAGAAAAATGGAACTGTGCTTCAACTGTCTTCCTTTCACTACTAAACTCCAAAGAGAACAGACCTGCTATCATCCCATATATTTAGTATATCTTAAAAGTGGGAAGTTATTTATCAAGTATGGTCTTTAATTACAGTGGAATTAAACTGAAAACAAGAAATAATAATAAAAATCCCTAAGTATTTGGAAATTACAACCCTAAATCTTTACAAGTTAAACAACACATTTCTAATAAATCTATGGGTCAAAGAAAATATTGAAAGAAAAAACAAGATATTTTTAACTTAATGAAAATAAAAACAATTTATAAAAATCTGAGGAATGCAGGTAAAACAATGCTTAGATAAAAATATTTAACTTTAAATGTTTATATAAAAAAGAAGGTCCAAAGTCAAACTAAACTTCTACCTTAAAAAGCTAGAATAAAACCCATTTCTGGCGGAGACGACCTCCCCACAAAAACATGCCTCACAAAAGAAGCTCCTTCCCTCTCCAGAGAGGAGAAGAGGAAACACAAAAAGTGCCTGGCGCAGAGCCCCAGTTCCTCCTTCATGGATGTGAAAAGCCCAGGATGCTATAAAATCACCACCGTCTTTAACCACGCACAACAAGTAGTTTTGTGTGTTGGTTGCTCCACTGTTCTCTGTCAGAACAGGAAGAAAAGCAAGGCTTATAGAAGGATGCTCCTTCAGAAGGAAGCAGCACTAAAAGCACCTCAGATCAAGAAGAGTAGGAAACCAAGCCAATAAATACATTTTGGATACAAAAAAAAAGTTAGAAAAAGATAAGCAAATTAAACCCGAAGTTTAAAGAGCAGAAATCAACAAAGTAAAAAATGGGAAAATAACAGAGAATCAATCATCAGTGAAATCAAATGCTGGTTGTTTTAAAGATCAACAAAAATTTGTTCACAGATAGATTACAGAAATAAACGTAAACGCTTTTAAAAAGCTGAACTTTTTTAAAAAATGAAGTAAACAAAAAAATATATTCCTGAAACAAGAATAAGCAAAAGTTTCTCAGACAAGACAGAGAAAGTATAACTATAAAAGAAAAATCTATAAATTACACTTAATGAGATTAAAAACTTCTCATCAAAAGACACAATTAACAATATGAATATGCACCAGACTGGGAGAGAATACATTCACAGTACATATACCTGACAAAAGATTTATATCAAGAATATATATAAAGAACCCCAACTCACATTTAAAGGCAAACAATCTAATTTTTAAAATAGGCAAAAGACTTCAACAGATATTTCACAAAGATAAATGAATGGTCCTAAGTACATGAAAAAGTGCCTAACATCATTGTTCATCAGGAAAATGCAGATTAAAAACCACAATGAGAAACTCAAATTCTCCTATCTTGCTGCTGGAAATACACACTAAAATGTTTAGTAGTTTCTTATAAAACTAAATACACAATTATGGCAGGGGGGTTAGTGAGAAATGACCAAACAACTGAACAGCAGGCTGCATGGGGCAAACAGGTCATCAGTGGGGGGCAGTTAGGGGCGACCAGGCCGGCAGGGAGGGGGCAGTTGGGGGCGACTTGACAGGAAGCGGAGGGCCTGAGGGGTGATTAGGCTGGCAGGGGGGGCAGTGAGGGGTGATCAGGCTGGCAGGGGGGCAGTTAGGAGCAACCAGGCCAGCAGGGAGAAGGCAGTTGGGGGAGACCTGGCCGGCAGCGGGGGGCAATTAGGGGCATCAGTCAAGCAAGGGGGCCAGTTAGGGGCAATCAGGCTAACACGCAGAGGCAGTGAGGGGCGATCAGGCTGGCAGGAGGGGGCAGTTAGAGGCGACCAGGCAGGCAGGTAGATGAGTGATTAGGAGCCAGCAGTCCAGGGTTGTGAGAGGGATGTTTGACTGCCAGGATTGTGAGGTGCCTAAACCGGCAGTCGGACATCCCCACGGGGTCTTGGAATGGATAGGGTGCAGGCTGGACTGAGGGGATCCTGCCCCCCAATGCACGAGTTTCGTGCACCAGGCCTCTAGTATATTTATAAAAAGATTTGACAAAATGTACATAGCACCATTACTCAGAATAGCTAAAAACTGTCAATAATCTAACTGTTCATCCACATGAGAATGAATAAACAAATTGTGCTATATTCATACAATAGAATACAGTATTACTCATCAGTAAAAAGGAACAATGTACTGAACAACATGGATCAATCTCACAGATACTATGACAAATACAAAAGAGTACATACTATATGATTCCATTTATATAAAGTTGAAGAGGAGATAAAACTAATGTAAGATATAAAAAATATCAGAATAAACATTGCCTGGAAATGAGAGGGTGGAAAAAGTTGGGAAGGGACACAATGGAACTTCCCAGAGAGGTAACATCTAATCTAATAAAAGAGAAACATGCAAATTGACCGTAACTTCGCTAAGCCCCATGCCATGCCCACCAGCCAGTCAGAGCGACTATATGCAAATTAACCCAACAAAGATGGCGGCCGGCAGCCATGGAGTTGGAGCAAGCAGGAGGCTTGGTTGCCCCGGCGATGGAGGAAGCCAAGCTTCCTACCTGCCCTGGCTGGCTGTGGCCTCTGCAAAAGGCAACAAAGTTTCAATTATAGAAGCTAAATAAATCCCAGATACCTGCTTCCAGCCAGCCTCCACTGGGAGCTTGGGTGGCTGGGGGCGGTGGCCAGCCTGCAAACAGACATCAGCCCCTCACCCAGGCTGGCCAGGCACCCCAGTGGGGACCCCCACCCTGAAGGGGGTGTGGCCAACCTGAAAACGGCCCTCAGCCCCAGGCTGGCCAGGCACTCCAGCAGGGACCCCCACCCTGAAGGGGTGTGGCCAGTCTGAAAACAGCCCTCAGCCTCTCACCCAGGCTGGCCAGGCACCCCAGTGGGACCCCCATCCTGATCTGGAATACCCTTCAGGGAAAACCAGTCAGCCCCCACCCATGCACCAGGCATATAATAAAAGGGTAATATGCAAATTGACCCTAACAGCAGAATGACTGGGAATAACTGGTCACTATGATGTGCACTGACCACCAGGGGGCAGACACTCAACCCAGGAGCTGCCCCCTGGTGGTCAGTGCACTCCCAGAGGGGAAGCCCCGCTCAGCCACAAGCTGGGCTGATGGCTGCGAGCACAGCACAGTGGTGGGAGCCTCTCCCGCCTCCTCAGAGGCGCTAAGGATGTCTGACTGCAGCTTAGGCCCACTCCCCGCGGACTTAAGCCACAGTTGGATACCCCTCAAGGGCTCCTAGGCTTCCAGAGGGATGTCTGACTGCCCACTTAGGTCTGATACCCTGGGGAGTGGGCCTAGGCTGGCAAGTGGACATCCCCTAAGGGGTCCCGGACCGCAAGAGGGTGCAGGCCATGCTGAGGGACTCCTTGCCCCAGTGCATGAATTTTTGTGCACTGGGCCTCTAGTATTATGATAAAAGTGTAGGTTAAACACAAGTATTCGTTTGTCAAATTGTGAAAGTTAAAATTGTACAATTGTAGCCCAGCCAGTGTGGCTCAGCGGTTGAGCATCAACCCATGAACCAAGAGGTCACTGGTTTAATTCCAGGTCAGGGCACATGCCTGTGTTATGGGCTTGATCCCCAGTAGGGGCATCCAAAAGGCAGCCAATGTTTCCATCTCTCTATCCCTCTCACTTCTTCTCACCCTAAAAATCAATTTAAAAAAATTTTAAACAAATGCAATTATAGATAAACTTGTAATGCATTTTAAAGAAATAATAGAAAAAAAGAGACCTAAGAGACAAAGCATCTTAATGCAAAGTACAGACTATGTTTGAATCCAGGTTCAAAAAAACCAAATATAAAAAAACTTCCTGACATAATCAAGAAAATTCGTTAACTAGGTATTTGATGATATTAAAAAACTATTCATTTTTTAAGGTATGATAATGGCATTAATTTTTAAGAGAAGAGCCCTTATCATTTATGTACACATACTGAAATATTTACAGATAAAATGACATGATTTGCTTCAACATAATTTACAGGGATGAGAATAAATAAAACACACTGCCATGTGCAAAAGGTATATAGGGGTCATTACACTATTCTCCTTTTGTAAACTGCTTGATAATTTCCTTTGTAAAGACAAAAAATCATACTGAAATCTTCTTAAGATAAATTTGGCCTTTCATGAAATTTAATCTTTCATATAGATATGATATGTTCCATTCTGGTTGACTTAAAGCCATAGTTCTATTTCACCCTCTCCTTCCCTATATATAAAACACTCACAGAACACACAGAGAAAAATTACACACAGACTTAGAACTATTGGCTTGTTTTATATTCACAGCAATATCAATATATCCACTTCTTCCATAACTCTAATTCTCTCATTATGCTAATTTGGTTAATTTCCAGGCAAATGCACATTCTTGTTTCAAAAGGACAGAAACATGGAATAGAGCGTTATTTGTTGAATCCCACTGGTGAAGAGCTTATTGGGCAGGATTCCCTTACAAACCTGAAATGGGCAGTGAGCTCCATATGGGAACGCAGTGTCTGGTGGCAGGCCACACACTTAACTTGAAATGGAACATCTTTGCACAGAGAGATCAAAAGTTTCTTTGCAAAAGATGGAAATGATATTGGATATGCTATTCTCCTGTCATCTGAAAAAAAAAAGTTATAACTTGCAAAGATTTGAGTAGACTAACCCAACCTTTCCTCCCTTTTGTCTTCCTCAATATCAGCTAGAATAAGTAAAAGATATTTACATAAAATCTGAAAGTTGCCAAACCGGTTTGGCTCAGTGGATAGAGCGTCGGCCTGCGAACTGAAAGGTCCCAGGTTCGAATCCGGTCAAGGGCATGTACCTTGGTTGCGGGCACATCCCCAGTGGGAGGTGTGCAGGAGGCAGCTGGTTGATGTTTCTCTCTGATCGATGTTTCTAACTCTCTATCCCTCTCCCTTTCTCTCTGTAAAAAATCATTAAAAATAAAAAAATAAAAAATCTGAAAGTCATTTTCTAGCCTTAAGTGCAAAAGTTATTGAAAACCACCCAAATTCCCAGATATCATGTATGTAAAAACATTATTCTGAATAAATGTTTTCTTCCCAAGTCTCTTTTCATTTCTCAAAGTAAACCTTATTCTTAGGTACAGATAAGTATTGAGAATCTTTTCTTTAAAAAAAAGAATTAAAAATCTTTCACTTTCACAGTTTGCATACTAAAGTGAGGATAAGAAACCTCAAAAATTATCTCAGAAACTCAGCAAAAATTAAAGTGGTTTAATAATTTACAGAGAACATACCACCCAGTTTAAAACGCTGATGGAAATGATTCTTTCCAGACATGTGCTTCAAACAGTCATCCTTGCCGCTAAAAAGAAGGAAGCAATTTGGACATGCAAAACACTGAATAATCTGAGGAAGAAGGTTGCTTTTATGTCCATCATCTGCAGCTTCCTAAAACATAAGGCAAAGATGAATTATAGACAACTAAAATCAACCAATATTCAAATTCTTAAAATTAACTTTCAAAGTATTTATTATCTGGAATATTCTCGATCTGTTTTTAACACGAAAACTTCTTCCCTGAGTGAACAATGGAGCTTTTCTCATAAATGAGGTCCCATATACAAAATTTTTAAATTTTTTTCCTTGAAAACAATTATAACTATCTTTCTGTGACAATAAATATACAAGTATATTTGCTTTCTATGTATTTTTCCTTTTTTACATACATACCCATATGCAATATTATATAAATACATAAATGTTTTCATATCACATACACTTTTTCTAAAGTTTTGCTTTGTTCAATCTACTCTGCAATATAACCTTTGTTTACAAATATGTATTTATCCATAAATAGCTCCATGCTTAATAATTTACATATACAAACAAACATACAAGGGGGATTGCCATTGTTTTATCAAATATATTCAACTTACAGACTCTTCTGCCTCTTAGTTTTCTTATTCCACAATGTCTAAAGGAAAGCCCTAAGACGCAACTGGTATAACTTTAATTCATTCTTCTTAATAATTGTCAACTGCTCCATCTTTGGATCTACTATGATTTAGTCAAGTATTCATTTTGAGGCCTTATTTTTTGCCACTATAAACAATAATGTTGTAAACATCCTTGAGTATATATCCTCATTTATAGGTGCTTTCTCTCATTATCAGTGGTCCTATTGGGTTGAAAGGTATATTCTTTGAGTATTAAAAAATGTTATATGCTTGCTTTTCAAAATGACTCTACCAATTCACGTATCTCCCAGCCTGGCAGCAATAGCTATTATTTTTGCAGTCTGACAGATGATGTGATACTCATTGTTACTTTAATTGCATTTCCTGTCTACGAGGGAGTTTGAGCATTTATTCATATAATTCTGTGGATATTCCACATTCTGTAGAATGCTTATTCATATTCTTTATCCTCATATTTCAATGTTTTGTTTTCTCTCCTTTTGGTCAACTTCATTATCAAAATTCTTTGTCCAATCCTCTATTTTGCAAATATTTTCAAACATCTGTTAATGAATTCTGTATATGCTCACTTGAAAATTTTGATGTAGTGAAACAGGTATGTCTTTTTTAGCATCTAAGTTTCCAAACTTAGTAAGAGCCTCCTTTATCCTGAAATTTGTTAATGGTCTTTAGAGTAATAGCCTTAAAAGTTGTGTCTTCTTAAATTTACTATCTTAAATTTACATTAGGGATATCAAAGTAGTTTGTGTAGTCTTATGAGATGAATCTAGAAGAGGATCAGTAAACTTACATTTATACTAAATACATGTCAAGCAAGCACCATTAGGATTCAAAGTGTGCTTTTCCATTTAATTCTTATAATAATCCCATGGAATATTAATTTATTCATTTATAAATAAGAAAGTTGAAACTTAGATTAAGTCAACAAAATTACCATTCCTCAAACCAAGGTGTTACCATAGAAGAGACAAAACTACCATTCAAATACAGCTTTATATCTTTAGTTACAAATTCTATGCTCTTTCCACTATTATCATCCCATTTTAATTTGGCAAGTGCCACACAAAAGATTACACTGGGAAGATATTTTGTATTTCATTAGAAGGTTCTAAAAGTTAAGGGCACTACAAGCATTTATTAACCACCAATTTATACAAATGACCCCTAATGAAGACCTCTAAACTAAAAAAAAATAAAATAATTTTTAGTTCAATTCTGAGTTATAAATGTATTCCACATAATGCTCATTTAAATGGTTTGTTCAATAAAACAAAAATGTGGTTCTACATAAAATTTTACTGGAATATAACTGTTATATAAATGATATATATTTGCAAATACCATCTACAAACTAGAGAAAAGAATGGGAAACAGAATGTCTGGTAAGTTCAAGTGTTAAATTTATTTTTACTATTATATATCTGGTTACATTAAAATAACATACATCATAAAACTTTGTATACGTGTGTTTGTGTGTGTGTTTGTATATATATATACACACACACACACACATATAAAAAACTAGAACAACAATAAAATACTACTTCATACCCACTAAAATAGCTATTTTAAAAGACAGATAATAAGTTCTGACAAGGATGTAAAGAAATTAGACCCTAGCCAGGCAGCTCAGTTAGTTAGAACATGGTCCTGATATACCAAAGTTATGGGTTTGACCCCTGGTCAGGGCACATACAAAAAGCAACCAATGAATGCATAAATAAGTGAAACAACAAACTGATGTTTCTCTCTCTCTCTCTAAAATTAATAAAAATAAAAAGAATAAGAAGAAATTGGAGCTGCATACATTGCTAATGGGAAGGTGACATGGTACAATAATTAGATAACAATTTGGCAGTTCTTAAAAAAATTAAACATAATTACCATATGACCCAATAGTCACCTGAGAAGTGAATACATACATCCACACAAAGACTTGCACGCTTGTTTATAGTAGCATTATGCACAATAGCTAAAGTGAAAACAACCCAAGTGTTTATCAAATAGATGAATTGATAAACAAAATGTGGCATATATCCATACAATGGACTGAAGGGTCCCAGTGCACATGCCTGGGTTGTGGGCTCAATCCCCGAAGGGGGGGCATGTGGGAGGCAGTCAATCAATAATTCTCTCTCATCATTGATATTTCTATCTCTCTCTCCCTCTTCCTTTCCCTCTTAAATAAATATATATATATATATATATATATATATATATATATATATTTTAAATTAAGAATAAAGTACTGATACATTCTACAACACAGATAAGCCTTAAAAACATTATGGTAAGTGTCACCAAAAGGGCACATATTCTATTATTCCATTTATATGAAATGTCCAGGAAAGATAAAACCAACGAGACAGAAAGTAGTTAACTGATTTCCTAGGGCTGGGAAGAATAGGCTAGCAAGGGGGAAAAATAACCTTTGATGACAGAATGGCCTTGGAACAGAATGAGAAACAGTGGTAGTACCTATTGACCCGCAAGTGACCTTGAGGCACACTGAAGCTTACAGTACAACACCTACCACCACCACCACTACCACCACCAAAATGGGAGAAAGGCAGGAAACTATCTAGTGCCAGGCCCATTGGATGACTTTAATGTTCAAGAAACACTAGACTTAAAAACAAAAAAAAAAGAAACACTAGACTTGCTACTCAAGTGTGACCCAGCAGCACTGGCATCATCTAGAACAGTGGTTCTCAACCTTCCTAATGCCGCGACCCTTTAATACAGTTCCTCATGTTGTGGTGACCCCCAGCCATAAAATTATTTTTGTTGCTACTTCATAACTGTAATTTTGCTACTGTTATGAATCGTAATGTAAATATCTAATATGCAGGATGTATTTTCATGGTTAAAAATTGAACATAATTAAAGCATAGTGATTAATCACAAAAATAATATGTAATTATATATGTGTTTTCCGATGGTTTCACAGGGGTCGTTCGACCCCCAAAGGGGTCGCGACCCATAGGTTGAGAACCGCTGATCTAGAAGCTTGTTAGAAATCCTGAATCTAAGGCCCCACCTCAGATCTATTGAGTCAGAATTTTCATTTTTTAAACAAGTGATTCAGGTGCACATTAAAGTTTGATAAGCACTAGTCTAGATGGAAGAAATTGGAGATGAAAGAAAAAGGGGAAGAAAGCAAGACAAATAATGCAAACTGGGTAATTCCACTCTCTTTCATTAGAGAATGTGATCTTTACAAAATAGAAATCAGTGGTATACGATCTTCTAGCGGCCTCTTCTGGCTGATTCAAGATAGGCAATTGCATACTAGTTTAAAGGAAACTAGTTTAAAGGAAAGGGTCTTTGTGACACACTCCAAAGACTAAGCAATAAGGAGTATTTGTTGAGAGTTATATCTAATATCAAATATGGTTCTACATTACAAGAATTTATGTATGTCCCTTGAGATTTAACAATAAGAGTTACATAGCACAGCCTTCTAAGTACTAGATCTATTTCTTTTTTTTTTAATTTAAATTCTTTATTGTTTAAAGTATTACATGAGTCTCTTTGTCCCCCCCTAGATCTATTTCTTCATACTAATGTTAATAAAAGAATTGTTAGGCACTATATGGCTCCAACAGTTCAACATGCAGTGAAAAGCAGTAGACTTCAGAAGGGTCTAGTTCTCAACATGTGACTAACTCACAGAGCATCTTACACAAGGTACGTTAATTTCATAAAGCAACTCCATAAAAAGTAGGGTTTCTATGGTAATCTTCAGGACTGCTGGTTTTCACCTATCAAGTTTGCCTGCCCCCAACAGTTTAATGTTCCAAATCATTTTGCTCTTCATAAACAATCAGAATTTTGATCCTTATGTATATCATTGGGGATTGCAAGCTTAAGAGCAGCAAGAAAAATAATGCCTACTCTTAACTTAGGACATGTTCTTACCTTAGAAAAAAGGTGTTCCTTATATTGTTGTTGAGTAACAAAATTTTTATAACATACTACACAAGCAAAGGAATTGATGGAAGGTCCATGTAGTGTAATTGTTGGATCACATGGAGAGTGATCAAACCTACTTGGCAAAAGAGAGGGAACATTAGAAAAGCTCACATTCTAGGGGCAGAACTATTTACTTTCATTTGTTAAGCTAAATAAACATACATACACACAATCAGAACTCACACTTTTCTACTAAGAAATATCAATGGTTCCCATAAGGCTTGCAACCCCTTCAGACAGTGACCTACAGTTAGTTTAAGATTTCATAAAAGTACTCAAGATCCAATAAAATAGATTCAGGCATGTCTTGCCAAACTGGTGCATTTCCAGTTTGAAAACTACAGAGCCATCATCGTTTCTTTTGCTTTATTTACCATAAAGTTCACAAATAATTTAAAATGAACCTCTGGAATAATAATCTCAAGTCAAGATTTCTGACACACCCGATTCCTAAAAATGGCTTTTAATCCTTCTAATGTTCACTTAACATAATTAAAAATTTGTGTCATTTTTAACTGCCTCGAAGACTTTTTAAAATAGATACAGTATGCTGCCCACTTATTCACAGACCATTGAAGCTCCCTCTAGAAATCTCTCTTGGTAAGGCAAGGCATAAGTAGGGTGAGACATCTTTAAACTATTAGAAGGGGATTGTAAAGATAAAAATGTTTAATGACTTTAATACTGTCTTCCTTGATATTTACTTTCTCTTGCTCTAATATTCAAGTGCAGTAGGTTAATAAGATGTGTTTCATAAGCAAAATATTTATCATTAATTTGGCTATATTTTATTTGCCTGTAGCATTTATTTTGTAATGTCATATTAGCTAGACTAAATATCTGTAAGTGCTTTATGTCTTTTGAAATTTGCATTTATGGGCTGGATTTCTCTAACACTGATCCAACTGCATAGCAGTGCAAAAATTCTATTCAAAATTTTATGAGACATTTTAGGAATAAATACATATTTAAAGGCCACATGTCTTTAAAGACAAAATATCACTAGAAGAATCTAACTTCACCAAACCTTCCAGGACAACTAAGGGATGTAATTATAAATAATTATATCTTAATAACACAAAACAATTTGAATTTAAAATATAAAGCTGTAATTACAATGGCAGAGGCACATCATGCTTTCATTTTATGAAATCACTTTGTAACTCACTTGACCTTCAGTGTCCACTGTTCTGAATATCACACTTACCTTTTCAAATGTCCTAAGAGAAGGTGCCCATTATCAAATTCCTTGTTACAGTGCATTATGGGACATGAAATTGCTTTTCCAGACACCTGCATTTGGCCTCCTCCTCTTCGGAATGAGCTTTTTGTTCCAGAATTAATTGTTCCTGCTTTGAGTCCTGCATCATTGGATATAAATTCTTAAGTCTCTATTTCAGATACTTGTCCTTTGGACTGGTAATCAAAATTATGACAAAACAATGAAAAATCAACTACATGCATCATAATTAAATATTTATAAACTTTTTTATAAAATATTAGTAACCTAAACGTAAATAGTTATTTGGGAAAAGAAGAGAAATTAACATCTCCAATTAGCCTTCTCTTGAGGAAAAAAAATCTGTTTCCTTAAATTCAACACCCAAGAAATATCAAAGATCAAATGCATTAGAAAATCAGTTGCTCTACAGAACCCTTACCTCTCTTCTTTTCATTTGTATAAGTTTGCAAAGATCTTTTCTTCTCTTATTTTCTCTTTTAACCATCTTAAACACATTATAAGGCATAGCTATATTATAGAGGATCTGGGCTCTATAAAAATTATGTTAAACAATAAGCTGAGAAAGCAAGAGAAGTGGAGATGACAAGGAGAGAAGGAGAGCAAGTGATACTTTCTGAGGAATCCAGCTATTGATCAATCAGCTCCAACCCGGACATCAAGTAATACAGGTTTCAGTAATAACATTTATCGAACACAAAGCAGAGATTTACTTGTTATCTCCCTTCTTCCAATTTACCCTATTTTGTCTTTTCCCTTTTTCTCCTTTCAAAGTCAATTAGAAAATAGTTTGCCCATCATTACCTTCTCTGAATTAATTCCCTCTTATTCTGGTTCATTCTTCATCTTCTTTCTTTCTTTCTTTCTTTCTTTCTTTCTTCTTTCTTTCTTTCTTTCTTCTTTCTTTCTTTCTTTCCTTTCTTTCTATTCTTTCTTTCTTTCTTCTTTCTTTCTTTCTTTTTCTTTATTTCTCTTTCGTTCTTTCTTTCTTTCTTTCTGTCTTCTTTCTTTCTTTCTTTCTTCTCTTTCCTTTCTCTTTCTCTTTCCCTTCCTTCCTTCCTTCCTTCCTTCCTTCCTTCCTTCCTTCCTTCTCCTTCCTTCCTTCCTTCTTCCTTCCTTCCTTCCTTCCTTCCTTCCTTCCTTCCTTCCTTCCTTCCTTCCTTCCTTCCTTCCTTCCTTCCTTCCTTCCTCCTTCTTTCTTTCTTTCTTTCTTTCTTTCTTTCTTTCTAATCTTGGTCTTACAATCACATAATCTTTGAGACTAATACCCCTGGCCAAATTTTGTTCCCATGTAACTCCCAATACATGATATACAATGGAAAATTTAGAATTATGTTGTATGAATAAAGAACTGTAAAATTGCCAGGAGGATTCTAACATAAAGGTAGTTTGACTATTGTTTCTCTTTTATTATTATTTCTTATGGATTGTTTCAATTGGATGTCTTAAATATTTCATACAACAGAAAACTAGGTATTTTTTTTTAAATACTATTTTAAAAATTGATTTGAGAGGAAGGAGGAGAAAGAGACAAAAAGAGAAAGAAAGAGGAGAAACAATGTGTGAGAGAAAAGCATCAATCGGCTGCCTTCCGCATGCATCCGATGGGGGATGGAACCCGAAACCTGGATGGGTATGTGCCTTGACTGGGAATCAAACCTACAACCTTTTGGTGTATGGAACACTCCAACCAACTGAGCCACACCAGCCAGGGTGCGTATTTATCTTTATGACAGTTTCTACAAAGCCCGTAAGCATTTTAACTAGAGAATTTTATCCTTTTAACATCATCTAGTTTTAAGATCTCCAAATAGTTATATATGCTTAAGGTTTCAACTGCCTTTCTGCTCTTTTAGTCCTTCTGGGGGGAAAAACCACTACTAAAAGCTCCCAAAATACTTATAAATGTGTTCTGCCAACAAACAATGAACAGTACAGCATTAATCATATTTTAATCTTAAAGAGGCAGTAAATGACAATATGCCTTTTTATTTTTAAATTTTTAATGCAGTCAGAATTAGGACAATTTTTATTTATTGTCCATCCACATTCCAGATGTCGTACATTATGACCTTTATTTGGCTAAACAGAGGCTCTGGCTAATAGAGAAAACAATCAGTTGAAAGAAAATAAGCTTTACCCATGGAAAGGCAAAGTACAGAGAAATTTAAACAGCTCTTTTCCTTAAATAGTATGCAGTGGTTCTCAACCTTCCTATGCCACGACCCTTTAATACAGTTCCTCATGTTGTGGTGACCCCCAATTTCATTGTTACAGATTGAGCATAATTAAAGCATAGTGATTAATCACAAAAACAATTTGTAATTATATATGTGTTTTCCGATGGTCTTAGGCAACCCCTGTGAAAGGGTTGTTCGACCCCCAAAGGGGTCGCAACCCACAGGTTGAGAACCGCTGGTATAGAGAGTGCAGTTTTTAAGTTATTAAGTATTGAAATGTATGCAAACTGGCCTAACTGTAAAGGTCTATAAAAGGTAGATTTCTAAAGTTAGAGCAATTATAAAGTACTTAAACTATTTCTAATCAAAAACTGAATTATAATAGTTGGATACTTTGGAATAGATTGAGTCCCTTAATGTTACTGAGAAGTAGAATCTCACTTTTTTAAAATTAAAGGATACACTGTCATCTCTGTTTTCCTCAGCTATACACTCTTCAAAGACCCCGACATTCTCTAAAGCCCATTTGGGAAAGATAAATACCAAATATAGCCCAACACTAAAGCAGCTGTTCTAGCAATAGATCCCAACTTTCAGTTTTATAGTGTTGCAAGGACCAAGCAAAAAAGATGAAATAATCACATGAAAAGAGCAAAACTAAAGACCTAAACTCCAGGATTAAGCTTATCAGTCACTGATGTACCAGGTGTGACCTAAAGATATGTAAAAACACAGTTAACTGCCTCATTTGTTCCCACTTGGCCTGCTCAGGTAAATATACAAACAGATGCTCATGCATTCAATTTACAATGAATTAAAATATTCTGACAATCTGGAGGCAAGAGATTAGGCCTAAAGGGGCATATTACTGGCCCCTAACCATTCTAGACAGGACTTGAAAGTGTTAAAGTCATATGAGATAAATGATTTTTAGAAGAGATCTTAGATGTGATAAAGCTCTCACTCAAAAAAGTCAATAAAACTTGCACGTTAAATAAGGGCATCACACACCCTTTCCTGCATAATTTCATGCATGTAGTTTCAGTCCATTTTCCTATCAAAATCATCCAGGAATCATCTCAAAACTACAGGTGCTCTAATTATCTCTGGGGTGAGGCCCAGGCATGTATTTAAAAGCTCCCAATTGATTCTGATGCAGCTAAGGTGAAACCAAAGAGCTAATCATTAACAACTACTGAGAAATGAATGCTTATCAAAAAAGATTTTTTAAATATATATTTTTTTTATTGATTTCAGAGAGGGAAAGGGAGAGATAGAAACATCAATAATGAGAGAGAATCACTGATCAGCTGCCTCCTGCACACCCCTCACTGGGGATCAAGCCCGCTACACAGGCATATGCCCTGACTGGGAATAGAGCCATGATTCATAGATTGATACTCAACCACTGGGCCATGCCAGCCGGGCTCAAAAAAGATTTTTAAAATAACCATAGCCTTGCCAGAGCCGGTTTGGCTCAGTGGATAGAGCGTCGGCCTGCGGACTGAAAGGTCCCAGGTTCGATTCCGGTCAAGGGCATGTACCTGGGTTGCGGGCACATCCCCAGTAGGAGATGTGCAGGAGGCGGCTTATCGATGTTTCTCTCTCATCGATGTTTCTAACTATCTCTCTCCCTTCCTCTCTGTAAAAAATCAATAAAATATATTAAAAAAATAAAATAAAATAAAATAACCATAGCCTTAAAAGAACACTCCAAAAAGCAAAACCATTTACCTTAATTTCTGAGTCACTTTTGCTAAAATAGGTCTGGAATATCAAGCAAGTCTTTTATAGAGCTGAATGAAGTCACATTTGGAGCCCAAGTTCTAGGCTTATATTCTGTGTTCATGTGCAAACATTTATATAGCCTCCTTTGGTAAAATATTTAACCAATATTTATTGAGCATCTCTATGCTGAGCATTCTTTTTAGGCACTCACACAAAATAGGATTAGTAAGCATTGGTCTCCATTGCCACAGAGCACAGGATAAAAACTATATGAGAAATGAATAAAGCATTGTAGGATCAAAGAATGCTAAGCAACCAAACTTATCCTATCTAATAAAAGAGTAATATGCAAATTAACCATCACTCCATCACAAAGATGGTGGCGGCCACGGAGCTGGAGCGAGCAGGAGGCTTGGTTGCCCCCGGCGATGGAGGAAGCCAAGCTTCCCACCTGCCCTGGCCAGCCCTCGGCTCTGCTCAAGGCTACAAAGTTTCAATTATAGAAGATAAATAAATCCCAGATACAAGCTTCCAGCCCATAGGGGTGGCCAGCCTGAAAATGGCCCTCAGCCCCTCACCCAGGCTGGCCACACCCCCAGCAGGACCCCCACCCTGATCTGGGACACCCTTCAGAGCAAACCAGCCAGCCACCACCTGTGCACCAGGCCTCTATCCTATATAATAAAAGGGTAATATGCAAATTGACCCTAACAGCAGAAAGACTGGGAATGACTGGTCACTATGACACACACTGACCACCAGGGGGCAGACACTCAATGCAGGAGATGCCCCCTGGTAGTCAGTGCGCTCGCACAGGGGGAGCTCTGCTCAGCCACAAGCCAGACTGACGACTGCCAGCACAGCAGTGATGGCGGAAGCCTCTCTCGCCTCCTCAGCAGTGCTAAGGATGCCCAACTGCAGCTTAGGCCTGCTCTCCACTGGCAAATGGACATCCCATGAGGGCTCCCGGGCTGCCAGAGGGATGTCTGACTGCCAGCTTAGGCCCGATCCCCCCTGGGGAGCAGGCCTAAGCCAGCAGGTCTATCCCCCAAGGGGTCCCAGACTGCGAGAGGGCACAGGCTGGGCCGAGAGACCCCCCGCCAAGTGCACAAATTTTTGTGCACCGGGCCTCTAGTGTAGAATAAATACTAATAAACCTAGCAGCCTCTGGTGGTGAGTATTACCTGTGGGGCTATTTCCACAGGCAAGTAAGAAGAAAAAAAGAGGAAAAGGCATTTAAAAGGAGGATGGGGTGAAGTTGGAATTTGCCAAGCACAAACAGATTAGGTGGCAATAAGGAAATACAGTTTCAGGGAGTGGCCAAGTGTCAAAATATCTACAAATTACTCTATTTTATAAGTGGTAGTTTGACTATTTTTAAAAAGTCCTCTAAAAACTAACTTTAGAACAAGATATCCAGGTTCAAAGTTGAGCATTGCATGCATTTCTAAACAGATATTTAGATATTTCTAATGACTTTTTGCAATTAAACCTCCTGCTGAATTAAATCCACAGCTAAGGTTTATGTGGATATCTCAAGCCTTTAAGACAGTGGTTCTCAACCTTCTTAATGCCGAGACCCTTTAATACAGTTCCTCATGTTGTGGTGACCCCCAACCATAAAATTATTTTTGTTGCTACTTCATAACTGTAATTTTGCTACTGTTATGAATCGTAATGTAAATATCTGATATGCAGGATGTATTTTCATTGTTACAAATTGAACATAATTAAAGCATAGTGATTAATCACAAAAACTATGTAATTATATATTGTGAAATATTTATTTCTAATTACAAATAAATGAAATTTTGTCCTGAAGCATGGTGTAGTATGGGTAACAACAGTCTTAATATAACAACAGTAAACTACAATGCTACATTTTGCGACAGTATGTTTAAAAAGGCAACGTCAGCGGGAAGGTTGAGATTGCTTCTTTCTCACCAGATCAGAAATTCTTGGGGCAGTCTTTGCAAGAGCACAACGAAGATCATCTTCCACAACAAGTCTACTTCTGTATTTAGACTTGATAACCAACAAGCTGGAAAACCCTGTTTCACAAAGATATGTTGTTGGAAATGGAAGGAGAAGGTGCAACACAGTCTCAGACAGAACAGGATATGACCGCAAACACTTGATCCAGAATTTTGTAACTGGCATTGTAGGGAAATCAGTTCTCACTGCATCATTGTTAATAAGTTCAATGAACTCTTGTGCTGTCTCAGGAACATCTTCAACTTTGACTGTGAATGGGCTTCTGGCAAGTGCAAATGGCGTGTCAGGTAGATTTGGAAAGTACGATGAAATTTCGTCTGCAAGCATGTGCAAGTGTTCTTTCACAGAAATTATCATCATAATCCTTTTGTCTGGTTCAATGTCATGTTCCTCAAAGAAAGCAGATAAGGTAGGCAACATGTAAATCTTATTTTCATCCATTTTTTTTTTTTTTGCCAAAGCTGAAGTTTCATTTGGAATGATCAGATCTTTTCAGACAAATCGAGGCATGTTGTATTTGGTCCTTGCAGTGATAAATTTAACTCGTTCAAGATGGCAACCAAATAAGCTATTTTCTGCAGTTCACTTTTATTGCTGAAAAGTGCTTTGAACTGCGGTCTTGCTTTCTGATTAAAAAACGTTTTGAGTTCATCACAAAGCTCAAAAACACATTTTAAAATTTTTCCTCTCGACAACCATCTTGATTCAGTGTGAAATAGCAGAACATTGTTCAGCACATCCAACTCGTTGCACAGTTGCGAAAACAGTCGACAGTTTAAAGTGCTCACCTTTACAAAATTGACACAACTTATGACACTTTTCATTACTTCTTGTAACTCTTGTGGCAGCGTCTTCATTGCTAATATTTGCTAATGAATCATACAGTGAGTTCCGATGACTTTTGGTGACTCATTCAGTACCAAACGTTGAAATCCAGATCGACATCCTAGCATAGCTGGAGCACCATCTGTGCAAACACCACAAACCTTTTCCCAAGAGATTTTATGCTCTTTCAGAAATGAACCAACTGTGTCAAATACATCACATGCAGTAGTAGTCATTTCAAGAGGTTTGCAAAAAAGAAACACATCTTTAAAGTCGCCATCATTAATATACCTCACGTAAACCAGTAACTGTGAACAGTTTGCAACGTCTGTAGATTCATCAAGCTGGATACTAAATATTGGAAGTGGAGCAGATTTAATTTCCTGGATTACCTGATCAAGAATATCAGCAGACATGTCATCTATTCTTCTGCAGACAGTGTTAGAGAAGGAAATTGCACTCAATTTCGAAACAAATTCGTCTCCGATCATAACTTGAACAATGTCTTTGGCCGCTGGCAACAGTAAATCCTCAGCAATGGTGTGAGGTTTCATAGCTCTGGAAATTTTGAGTGCCCTCAAATATGAAGCTTCAATGGCTGCTACGTTTTGTTTGTGGTACTTGCCACCAGTGTCAAGTCTGGCTTTCTTGAGTCCATCAGCTTTGCTTCTAAAGTAGTTGGTATCCTTGCCAGCAAAGCTCGGATGCTTGCTATCAAAATGGCGTTTTAGTTTGTTCGGATTCATAGATTCGGCTGATAGAACTTCACAACAAATAACACATCACGGTTTCTCAATTCCTGCTGTAATTATTGAGGTAAAACCATACTGTAAAAAATCCTCACTATATTTTCTTTTCTTAACGTTCTTCTCTACAAGAACCATTGTCATGGGATAGTTTGCTAATGAAAATAATATATAATAATAGCTTTAATAATACAAAAGATGATACATGGCATAGTTCAGTCAATACAGTGCATTAAAGTTTCCTATGATTTACCATTCTCTGTGTTGTTGTTTTTTACATACCTGTTACTATCACAAGGGGGCAGTATTCACATTAACCACAGCTGAATATAAAAAGAAAGATCAGCATCCCGATTAAGTTCCCATGGTACAGATCTTTTTTTGCAGTAGTTGATGATTTTACAGTACATGATTTTACATTTACCCAGTAATCATAATTCATGAAGTGTCGTTTTACATCCAATACTACTGCTTTCTACACAGAAGCTGCTCTCGACACATGTGTAGCTGGTCTGCATAAGTACATTATGGCGCCAACCCTGTCACATATACCTGTAATTGTACCAGGTGTATGTGATGGGGTTGGCTCGATGATGTCATCACGCCCGGTACTCATATGTGGGCATATCTTCATTTGGGCAAACCTACCTTCAGACGGATAGAGGAATAGTGTCTCGGTTCCTATGACCATGGAAAATATGTGTTTTCTGATGGTCTTAGGTGACCCCTGTGAAAGGGTTGTTCGACCCCCAAAGGGGTCATGACCCAAAGGTTGAGAACCACTGCTTTGATGGCTTAGTGGGTCTTCTACAAGACAGACTAGAAAAGTTGCCATGGAGGAACAGTTCTACTAGCTTTTAAAAATTCCACCAAATTATTTAGTAAGGGAAAATGCTTTACAGTGAGATTTCCAGGAATGTCAGGTCTGCAAAGAGTTAGTGAAGAAGAGGCTACCCAATGCTTTAGATGAGCCTCCCATGTAGACACTTACAGAATATCTACATAGGCTGCACTGACAAATATGTAAACACTCATCCTTTAAATCTCAGCTTAAATTCCATTTCCTCAGAGAAGCTTTTCCTGACCTCAAGTGACCTGTTACACAGCCTCCCATAGACACATATACTATTTCATGTAATAACTATGAAATCATAAATTATTAAATGAGCAATATCTAAATACTGCGGTTCTCAACCTGTGGGTCACAATCCCTTTGGGGGTCAAACAACCCTTTCACAGGGGTCGCCTAAGACCATCGGAAAACACATATATAATTACATATTGTTTTTGTGATTAATCACTATGCTTTAATTATGTTTAATTTGTAACAATGAAAATACATCCTGCATATCAGATATTTACATTACGATTCATGACAGTAGCAAAATTACAGTTATGAAGTAGCAGCGAAAATAATTTTATGGCTGGGGGTCACCACAACATGAGGAGCTGTATTAAAGGGTCTCGGCATTAGGAAGGTTGAGAATCACTGTCTAATGAGCTCAAGGATGACCTATACTATTTACACTCAAAATATACTTTTGCCAAAGTAGGAAAGTAATTGGTAAAGTAGGCCATTATTAAGATTCACTAAAATTAATTGTCAATACTTTATATATTCATTAGCAACCGAATAAATGAACATAATGTTTTAAAACTGTAGAGAAGCTAGGGAACCTTCATGTTCCACTCATCTCTAAAGAGTACCTGGCATTTTTAGCCACTGGTCCACACACAGTCTTGCTGCTTCTGTATCAGAATGTCCTCGAATAAATTCCAATTCTTGCAACCCATGAGCATGCTGAAAATCAACTTTTTCCTAAAGATATTAAGAAAAAAATCAATCAACTATGATTACTAATCTGGTTTCCTTGAGAAAAGATTTTGACATATAAGTCACCAGTAAGTACTGATTACCCTTTATCCTTGGAACTCCACACCTAGGTCCCAAAACAAAGGTTCATGCTCTAACATGTTGATCTAATGTTATCTACATCTGCACAAAGTTCACTACAACCTATATCTACCAACAATAGGGCACTCGTTAAGTAAATTATGGTAAATACATTTCATTAAAGTCAATAGAAACACTAACCACTTTTTTAATGAAGTAGAAACATACTTTTGGTATCAAGCAAGCCACCAAGTAGTATAAAACAAATAAGACCAAATATAAACAAAGATTAATATCAAGATATGTGTAACTTTATCTGCAGAGGGGAACAAGGCTGAAAATAAATATATTAAATTCAATGGCTAAATCTCAGAATGGAGATATGATTAGTTGCATTTTTAAACTTATGTACTTTTTTTAATGATTTTTTTATTGATTAAGTTATTACATATGTGTCCTTTATCCCCACATTACCCCCTATCCCCCCCCACTCATGCCCTCACGCCCCTGTTGTCTGGTTCCATTGGTTAAAAACTTTTGTACTTCCCCCCCAATTTTTCTTTTACAGGGTGGGGCAAAGTAGGTTTATAGTTATTCATATGAAAAATAATACAATAATAAATAAATAATAATACAAACATAAACTGTTTCTCATACTCACAACTGTAAAGCTATTTTTGTCCCACCCTGTACAGTATGAAATGAAGAGAAGCCTATTAAATAGTTGTTCAGTGAATAACATTACTTTGAGCAGACACTTAATTAGTACTTAATATATGCCAATATAAAGCATTTATTGCCACCTAGATCAAGGATTGGCAAACTTTTTCCATAAAGGGCCAGATAGCAAATATTTTAGGCTTTGTAACACAAACAGTCTCTATTGTAACTACTCAACTCTGCTACTGTAGCATGAAAGCAGCCATAGATAATATGTAAACAAATGGGCATGGCTATGTTCCAATAAAAATTTATTTACAAAACAGACAGCAGAGCAGGCCAGTGCAAACCACTAAATTATATACTTCAGACTGTTAAGAGTCTCTAAATCTTTCTAGTTAGATTACCTATAAATCTACTTGCATATTCTCTAATCATGCTGTATCTAACCATTAACACTTATTAACCACCTACCATGTGAGGAACTTCTCACAATAACTCCGTGATAGGTACTATTGTTCCCACTTTATTTTTTTAATATATTTTGTTATTGATTTTAGAGAAAAGGGGAGAGGAGGAGGGAGATGAGAAACATCAATGATGAAAGAGAATCATCGGTTGGCTGCCTTCTGCACACCCCCCCAATGGGGACCGAACCAGCAACCTGGGCATGTGCCCTTGACCAGAATTGAACCTGGGACTCTTCAGTCCACAGGCCAACATTCTATCCACTGAACAAACCGGCTAGGGCTATTGTTCCCATTTTATAATGGGAAACTGAAGTAAACCAAGGTCAAATAAATTGCTGAAGGATAAGTAACAATTCCAGGATTTAAATTCTTGTAATATGATAGTAGGATCCATGCACTTAAACAGTATTGTGTCTCAAAAAGCTTATATTCTTAACAAGAAATGACAAATTCATTTTCAAGACATAGGTCAGAATAATGAATGGCCTAGTTAGCAATAACAGGATCTTCTGTCAAGAAGAGTAAGTAGAAGGATAGGGAGATTCAAAATTTTCATCTGAAAAAAATCTTACAATATTGTTCAAATACAGCTATAGAAGACATATTCTCAAAGATGTTAATATGCATTGTTATATTAAAAAATCCTCTGTATCAACTTAAGTATAGAAACACTAGAGGCCCGGTGTACGAAATTCGTAGGGCGGGGGGGGGCGGGGGGGTGTCCCTCAGCCTGGCCTGCACCCTCTACAATCTGGGACCCCTCGGGGAGTGTCCGACTGGCAGTTTACAGGGATCGGGCCTAAAACTGCAGTCAGACATCCCTCTCACAATCCAGGACTGCTGGCTCCTAATGGCTCGCCTGCCTGCCTGCCTGATTGCCCCTAACTGCTTCTGCCTGCCAGCCTGATAGCCCCCTAACTGCTCCTCTGCCGGTTTGATTGATGCCTAACTGCTCCCCTGCTGGCCTGATCATCCCCAACTGCCCTCCCCTGCCGACCTGATCTCACCTCCAACTGCCCTCCCCACAGGCCTGATCTCACCCCCAACTGCCCTCCCCAGCCAGCCTGATCGCCCCCAACTGCCCTTCCCTACTGGCACAATGGCCCCCAACTGCCCTCCCCTGCAGGCCTGATCTCACCCCCAACTGCCTGCCCCAGGTGGCCCAATGGCCCCCAAACTGCCCTCCCCTGCTGGCCTGTTCACCCAAGTGCCCTCCCCTTCCGGCCATCTTGTGGCAACCATCTTGTGACGTCACGCAAGGACGTCGTGCGACGCCACCTCGGCTTTTATTATATAGGATTGGTTTTAATATCAAGTTTAAAAGGCTCCTTTCCTGCAGGACTTCCAAAGCGTTAAGGTACTATAACATGCCTGTGGTTTTTCATCCATAGAGTATGCAGTATCCCAACTTAGTAAATCACTTATTACTTTTTTTCAAAGTATATCCTACAGGATCAGTGTTCTGAATAACATGCTATGGGAAACAAAGATAGTCTATCCAAAGAAAGCAATATGGCAAACTTCCAGGAGGCTATAAAGATTTTTTTCTTATTTACAAAATTAAACATGATGTATTGACATTCCTTACAAAAATCTATCACAGTAAAAACCTTTAAATTAAATTACCATATTGATGTTAAATATTACTGCATGCCAGCAAGTAGTCTACTTATTTTAAACAATGCCAATAATTTTTTTGAAGTTTTTAAAAAATGTTCTTTGCCATTTCTCACAATAGAATTTTAACTCTGTGGCCTAAGTCAATGCTAAAAAAAGTTTGCTGGCTGAAATCATCTCCAAATGTGCCGCCCTTTTTTCTATATCACAAAGCTACTTCCATAAACTTTAGGGTTACATTACTTCTTGCACGTCATCGTAACTCCTGAAATATCAATAAGCTAAGCTGGTGGCTGGTTATCTAGTCAGCACAGCACATTATCTCTGAATGTTATTTATCCAACAAACACTTAAATGAATTTTCTTTTTCTTTCATTTAACATCATGAAGATGGACAATCCATTTTAATAGTGAGACAACATTCACAAATATATTTTTTTACTCAGAGTTATTTATCAACCACTAGAATTTTTCAATAATTATTTTTTTAAAATTTTTTAATTGATTTCAGAGAGGACAGGAGAGGGAGAGTGAGATGGAAACATCAATGATAAGAAAGGATCATCGATTGGCTGCCTCCTGCACGCCCCACACTGGGACTGAGTCTGCAACCCAGGCATGTGTCCTGACCGGAATTGAACCAGTGACCTCCTGGTTCCTGGGTTGACGCTCAACCACCGAGCCACACCTGGCTGGGCAAGAATTATTTTTATTTCAGTTTCATTATCTTCCTTTCTGGGTAGTTTGTTTTTGTTGTCTGGCATCTAGTTTTTAAAACAAAAAAAAACAAAAAAACTTATCCATGTTTTAAAAAAAAAAACTTATCCAAATAGGAACCAAAAAAAATCATGTATGGATAACAATCAATGAGCTAAAGCATCTGTGTCGATCAGCTTCTCTTAGAAAACATAAATTTATTCTTTACAGTTGGTTAAACAAAAATTTCAAAAAACTTTCTTCAATGCTAAGGTAAAGTCTTTAATATAACAAATGAACACAGATGGAGGTTAAAACTTCCCTTGAGAAAACCCTTGGTTGTCATAGTGACTATAAGATTCTGAACTCGTCATGAAAGTTTTATTATCTACTAGAGGCCAGATGCACAAATTCGTGCAGGAGTGGCATCTGGTCGGCCTGCCCCAATCGGGGCCGATAGGACCAGGCAGGCCAGAAGAAGGGGCCCTAGATGGTTGGCAGGCTGGCCCCACCCCCTGGTCAAACTCTGGTTGAAATCCCAGTAGAGGAGACAATTTGCATATTACCCTTTTATTATATAGGATGTGTTCATTAACATTGCCTGGGAAAAGAAGCTAGGCTAGCATTACTCAGGAAATCTGCAGAATGGGAGGATAGCTCGAAAACCATATCTCTCTCAAAGAGATTTTCCCCATGACCCATAAGCAACACATTTAACATAGTTTTGGGAAAGAATCTTCCTTAAAGTTAAATCATGTTTCTACCAGAAAAGAAATAATCCTATTTTTTAAATATCACTATCCACTAAATATCATAAATATACAATTAGAAGACTATGCTCTAATTTAATTGGTATTACATGATAAAGTTAAAGTCCCCAAATAAACCTAGTTCTAAATTTAAAGATTAATTATTCTATATCAAATTAGGGTATACTAAAACACAAGCTATAGAAATATATACATTCCTTTATAATAACCAATGAATAAGTAATGAAAGAAAAAAAAAAACAGATGTTAAGATTATAAAATCATAGAACTTATCCCAACCTGGAAGATCATCTCCAACTGTTTCCCTTTACAGATTGAAGCTCAAAGTCTATAAAAGGTAAGTGATCTGCTAAAATCCAAACAGCTATTGGAGGAGCCCTCATTTCAATTTCCATTTTTAAAATCCTACTATGAAGCTTATATTTTTACCCAACTCATCAACATTCTACTCCTAATAGACATTTATCAATATTGAGGGAGTTTTATAAGTAATTTCATTTGGATCTTTCTTAAGCAAGTCAAGGAAAATATATTCCACGAGATTCTAAATTAGGCTTCACTTTCCACATAGCAGCTCTTCTACAACCCTGATTCAAATTTATTTCTTTTAGTAATCGATTTAATCTGAAAGGACAGGCTGAAATCTGAGAAAGTGGACTGTCTCTATTTAGTAGAAAATAACCTTTCAACAGTTTATACATACAAATCTGATAAACAATTTTCACTCTTGTGATAAAGTAACCAGAAACACTTTAATTGCTCATTTGCTTTGAGTAATCAAATGATTTTTAATTTCCAAAAATAAAATCCACTAACGTAATGCTTTTTTTCCTATATACATATATGATCAGAATCTATCAAACTAAAAACAGAGATGTAAAAAGCTATTATGAATTACTACTAAGTTGATGTCTAGAATCCACACTGAACATGGATTCAATTATTCATTTATTACAAATTTCTCTTTACAAATTTATTATAAACAATTCTATAATTTGGTAAAACACCAATTAAAATAGCCACATACCCTGAATGCTCTATTCTTCTCTTCTTTCTGCTGTTTCTCCACTTCAACATGGCGGGCTAGACGAGCCAGAGTTAAGGCAACTTTATCCTTCTGGTGGTCAATATGGTCTTTATGTTTAACATTACCCTATAATTAAAAAACAATTTTCATTCCTTTTAACCAATTTAGCTTTGGGATAACATATATCCATTTACAAAAGAGTTGTTGCACTAAAGAACTACTTACCTTTACCACTATCAAATGTCTAAGAAACTGTCTTGTATATCTTATACTTCATGTGTTATTTTGTAGGTCAGCCAATCATCCACGAGCACCTTTGTTTTCAAAGTTAGATAAACTAGCTGGTAGGACATTTATCATCTTTATTTACTTTATCATCATCTGGATATTGAAAAGTTGGGCATTGCTTTGTGCTGAGTCTATAAGGTAATGCCATCAAGCCATTAGTTTACAGTCAAAAAGTACAAACATCCTTGGCTCTAGTTTTTCAGCAATGCCAGGACAGTATTTATTTAAGAGAAACTATTGATTTAAAAAAGTAGATCAAACTTCCAGTTCCCAGTCCAACATGTAAGGAGCTTAGAAGTTGCCATTCCATCCTAACAATGATCAAAAAGCTGAACAAACTGGTAAGTCAACATCTCTGAAATTCATCAAAGTGAGGTGACAGTACTGAGAGATGGGGGAGGGGAGGAGGCAAATTCAAAGAATCACAACTTAGTAGAGAGGAAACCCATGAGTAGAAACTACAGCAGGAACCGCTACTGAGTAGGAAAACCTGAACTATAATTGATGAATTGCTTGAAGCTCAGTGTGGATAAGACGGAGAGTTAAAAACTCCAGGGGGATCCAGTCATGGGAGACCCTCACACTTTTGTGAATTTACCTCCAGGAGTTTTACCAGGTTCTCACATTGAAAACTGGACCAAAATCCCCTAATGCTGTCAATAGCTGGGAGGAATATGCCAGATATTTCTCTTCTTAACAAGGTCTGTGCTCAAGAGAAACTTTTACCAGAGTCTAACCCAGGGGTGGGCAAACTTTTTGACTCGAGGGCCACAATGGGTTCTTAAACTGGACTGGAGGGCCGGAACAAAAGCATGGATGGAGTGTTTGTATGAACTAATATAAATTCAAAGTAAACATCATTACATAAAAGGGTACGGTCTTTTTTTTCTTTTCTTTTTTTTTAGTTTTATTCATTTCAAACGGGCCGTAGTTTGCCCACGGCTGGAACCTGTTAGAGTTTTATCAGAGCTTAACAAACCTGCTGGAAGGGAAATACCCAACTTCAACTCCCTTCCGCTTTCCACATAGGAGAAGGGAAATACCCAATCCAGGCCCCTCTAACTAGCTTGCCCCACTGAGGGGATGGACTCAGAAGCACTGCTGAAGTTCAGTCCCAGGACACAGGCTCACCAAGACGAAGTCCTAATCACAGGATTAAAGAATGGCACCACTTCTCCCATACCTTACCACTATATTACTAAAGGCCTAGTTACCAGTTTCTTTTACTTAGTACATTATGTCCACCATTCAAGAAAAAATTACAAGGCAAAAAACAGTCTGAAGAGTCAGAGCAAGCACAGAATGGCAGACATGGCAGGGATGCTGGAATAATCAAATCAGGAATTTAAAACAACTTTGATTAATATGCTAAGGGCTCTAATGGAAAAATGGCAACATGCAAGAACAGATGTGTAATGTAAGTGATATGGAAATCCTAAGAAAGAACCAAAGAGAAATCTGGAGAGATTTTAAAAAATACTCTAATCAAAATGAAGAATGCTTTGATAGACTGGCTACTGCACACTTTGCACTTAAGGATATGTCAAAAGAAACTTGCAAAACTGAAAAACAAAGAGAAAAAAGACTAAAAAATGCAACAGAATATCCAAAAACTACTCCAAAAGATATAATATATGCATAATGGGAATAATGGAAGAAGAAAGGGATAGAAAATATAGGAAACAATAATAACTTTGAATTTTCCCAAGTCAATGTCAGACACCAAACCACAAATTAAGGAAGAAATAAATCCCTCTTTGTTCACAGATGATATGATCTTCCTAAGAAAAACGTGCAAATAAAATAAGCAAAGTTAGGGGTGAAGTATCCTGTATAATTAGATGTTTACAGCAGCTTTATGAATAACTGCCAAAACTTGAACACAACCAGGATGTCCTTTAGTAGGTGAATGAATAAATTGTGGTACATCCAGGTGATGAAATATTATTCTTTCTGAAAAGAAACAAGCTATCAAGGCATGAAAAGACATGAAGGAAACGGAAATACGTATCACTAAAGGAAACAAGCCAATCTAAAAAGGCATGATTCTAACTATATGGAATTCTGGACAAGGCAAAACTATAGTGATAGTAAAAAAAGATCTGTAGTTGCCAGGGGCTTTGTGGGAAGGGAGAGAGGGATAAATTAGCTAAGTACAAAAAAATTTTAGGGCAGTAAATTATTCTGTATAATACTATAAAGGTGGATACTTGTCATTATATATTTGTCCAAAGCCACAGAATTACAAGAGTGAACTCTAATGACTTTCGGTGATAATGATAGGTCAATGTAGGTTCATCAATTATAACAAATGTACCACTATATTGGGGGATGTTGATAATAGGGGAAGCTATGCATGTCTGGAAACAGGCAGTATATGGGAAATCCCTGTACCTTCATCTGAATTTTGCTGTGAACCTAAAATTTTTTAAATAAATAAATAAAATCTTAATTTAAAAATTTTTCTATTAGAGCCCAGCTAGTGTGGCTCGGGGCTGAGTGTCGACCCTCTCTAACCAGGAGGTTATGGTTCCACCCCTGGTCAGGACACATGCACAGGTTTCCGGCTCGATCCCCAGTAGGGGTTGTGCAGGGGGCAGCTGATCAATGATTTTCTCTCTTCATTAATGTTTCTATCTCCCTCCCTTCCTCTCTCTGAAATCAATAAAAATCTATTTTTTTAAAAAAGTAAAAATGATTCCTTTAAAAATATGTAAGTAAAATCTAGCAGGTATAAATAAAAATGTTAATAGTTATTTTTGTCTGGAGAGTTTTCTCTTTTTTAAATTCTACTTTCTAATATTTCTACAATCAGCAATGTAATAAAATTAACAAAATTTCACTTATCAATGAACAAGACTGTGTAAGGACAAAAACTGTTGAGAATCCCAATCTCTTGTTTGAAAATGTAATGGATTTGGCTTAAATCACTAATTTATGCCTTATAAAACTACATTTAACGTATACTCTTCATAAAGACAGATGAAAATTTTGTATTTAGAAGGAACATAATCTAGTAGTAAATTGTATTTTTTTCCCTCTAGATTTTTGTCTCTAATAATGTAATAAGTAGGTTACATTACTTTCCAAACCTAACAAATAGATATTAAGCAAGAATTAGGGTAAGTCATTTTCAGTTCAACAGGCTTAATGGCTACTGAGTAAATATTTTTACACAGTTCTGATGTCAAACACCATTACTATTTTAAAGCAAAAAGCATTACTAAAACATACTCATAAGTGTGTATTTTCCTTTATTTACATATATGCTTTTAAAAAATCCAAAGCACATGTACTGATTTGTATTTTAAAATGTATTTAAAATATTAAAAGTACATATAGTCAAATTAAAAGTTAAAACTTAAAACTTAAAAGTATTATTCAACTTAGACCTGACCTACTGCTTTTCTGGTTTGGATTTTAAATATAGAAAGTAAAATCATTAGCTTTTCCTATCATAAATATAATTCCTCAATGTTTAATAGATTTATTCAAAAGGAAGCTAATTAAGTCACAAAGAAATTTTATTAGAACCCAAATTTCTGTTCAACTGTCTAGTCTTCATTAATGCATACTGAAATGACTTTATGAGTTGACTTCCTTTTAATATTGGTCTGCGAATGCCTATTTCATTAAATATTCACTCTCAATCCCAAAATGTATTATAGAATAGAAAATTAAGTGCCACATGCTTGTCAACCCCACTTTGGTATTACAAACTGGTATTGAATGCTGAAAAAATTGGCTATAAACTGTTTTATAAAACTTTTCAAAGAAGGTCTCTTGAATAATTTTCTCAAATATTTTCTTATTTTTATACTAATTTTTGAGGTAAACTTGGTATATAACACTATATTAGTTACAAGTATACGGTGTAATTTGATCTTTGTATACACTACAAAGTAATCACCAAAATAAGTATTGTAACCAACTGTCACCATACAATTGAAGTCCCTTCACTCATTTTATCCATCCTCCAACCCCCAAACCCTTCCCCTCTGATAACCACCAACCTGTTCTCTGTATAAGTTTTGTTTTCATTTTTTAAAGATTGCACATACAAGTGAAATCAGACAGTATTTGTCTAACTTACTTCACTGAGTATTATTTCAGTGTGTGTGTGTGTGTGTATCACATTTTCTTAATCATCCATCAACAGACACTCAAGTTGTTTCTATACCTTGGCTACTATAAACAATGCAGCAATGAACATATGGGTGCATATACTGCTTTTAATTAGTATTTTGGGGGACTTACTTTTCTCAAATTCTCAGAAGTGGAATAGCTAGGTCATATGGTAGTGCTATTTTTAATTTTTTGAGGAATCTCCATATTGTTTTCCATAGTGGTTGCATCGATTTACATTCCCACAGTGTATGAGTGTTCCCCTTTCTCTCCATCTACTTTAACACTTATTTCTAGTCATTTTAATAATGGCCACCATTCTAACAGAAGTGAGGTAATAGCTCATTGTGGTTGTGATTTGCATTTCCCTGATAATTAGTGATGTTGAACATTTTTCAATGTGGCTGTTGTCCATCTGTAAGCCTTCTTTGAAAACTGTTCATATCTTCTGTCCATTTTTAATTGAATTGGGTTTTTTTGCTTTTAAGTTATTTATACATTTTGGATATTAACCCCTTATTGAATATATAATTTGCAAATATCTCCTCCAACTCAGTAGACTGCCTTTTCATTTTGATGGTTTCCTTTGCTGTGCAAATTTTTAGTTTGATATAGTCCCACTTGTTTTTCTTTTGGAGTCAGATCAGAAAGTAAATGACAAGACTGATGTCAAGGGGCCTGTTTCTTTCCAGGAGTTTTATGGTTTCAGGTCT